TCAAAGCCATGTGGAACCATATTTATTACGCTTTGTTTGGGATCAGAGAATTATCCTAAAAACGAGGATTTTGTCAGCCATAAAAGAACAACGTATAATAGGTCCCAAGTTTGCGACCGATTTCCGAGGCGTTTTATTCACTGCGATTTAGGGGTGAACTTTTTGGTATACAGCTCCACTGGTGCCGCCTCACGAAAGAATTGACCTTTGATTGTCGCCTAGGGTGTTTATAACCATAGGACCTCTAGGAAGGGTTTTATAGAAAGGAGGCGGTTTTGTCCAAACCTTCATTTGCTTCCTTCGGACAGCGGTGTATGGTACTTTACAATGTGAACTGTTGCTATTGGTCTATCCCTTCTTATTGACGCGTTTATAATGTTCAATATCCTCAAGCCTGAAATCTCTACGGAATTCGGTCATCATATCTAGCTATGAGACTTCCTCAAATTCTTTAGAAATTCTGATGAATGTCTAGTTCATCAAACTGATTTTTACTTGACTTTTTAGCCTAGTTCTGTGTATCTACGTGCCACATGGACATTTGACCTGCCATACAACCAGAATTCCTGTCAGGCTAAAGGCCTCAGCAGCAGTTCATCAAATACTCTTCACAAGACATGTTTTACTTTTGTTGTAAAAATCATGAGTGATCCATCATAAATCTGTCAAAAAACGTTTGCAGCGAAATTACTTCTTTAAATGGCACATCTACTCTCGTTTTTTGCTGCAGAATTGACCGAACAGAATGCCTTCAGTAATTTGGTGACACTAACAGCACACGTGTGCAGCATGATCTATCTTAGAAAAGTGTGTAATTTTTCCCAGCATAACGTGCTACTTGTAAGGTTGATGAGATCTGTTTGACAGCCATGCTGTAAAGATGGGATTCGCCAAGGTAATGCGGAATGTGTGGGGAATACAGAACACGAAAGAATTTATCTACAGCGCACCGGTCTCTAGTGACCACTTTTCAATGATAACTGCGTTTCATTCAGCAAGCCATATTTCTGTTGCCATCTTTTCACCAGCCATAGCCACGGTGAATTCATCCCCATGTGAGCTGCTATACTGTTTTGTACTTTGTACTACTGCAAATACTACTGTAATACTACTGTAATACTGTGAATACTATCGTAAATAAGGCCTAGCGAAAACGACAGCTTCATTGCTAACCCCATATTCGTGCACAAACTTGAAAGCATAAGGCCTTGCGTCGACCTTTATATAGTAAAATCAAAGAAATAACCTCTACCAAAGAAAGAAAGAACCATTTATCCCAGTTTTTTTTCCAGGAAGTTGCATGTGCCTTTCTGAAGGAGCATCAGCAGAAATGGGCAGAACCAAAAAACGTCAAGAAATTTAATGGTCATGGTATACGGACACGATGTGTAAGGATGTTACTGTTTGAGAATGCATTAATATCCTATGGAAGTCGTTTGCTCAAAGCAACACCAAAGTATCGAGCTCTCCGCGGTGACCGATTTCAACCGTTAGCATTTACTTAGAAAAACTCTTTCTGGATCCTACTGGGTTAATTGTTTGAACAATTCATTAGAAGTATCAAAATTGTCTTTGCTCGCTTTTCTTGTCCAATAACAATTATTCTGAAATCATAGCACTCAAGTCAGGTTCTTCAATTCACAGTCCCAAGCACTAGTGCACATACTGTTGACTGATTTCCGACAGGGGTTTGCTTATTAACAGCGGCTGGACATCCACAAGCCAATGCTTGCTCATGAAATACAAACAGTTTGGGCTGAGCCAGATGCGCTAAAGCGGGTGAGCCATTAGAATCGATGCGAACCCGGAGGAACAAAATCGGCGGGATAGACTCGCATAGACGCGTTGAAATCCATTAGTTCACCCAGGCATAAAGGTATTACAGTGACCACTAAAAAGTATTTGACACTGGTTTTCAAGCCCCATCCTTCTCTGAACAGTACATCTCATAGTGTATGTATACATATGTATGTACGTACGAACTACTATCACCTGACATGCAAAGCAAATGTGGTAAAATCACTCAACTAGTGCCAATAAAAAGCACCTGAATTACTCATTTGGCAGTAAACTGCCAGTGGTTCTAATGAAGGTCTACTGGTTTCACCTAAGTAACTTACTAACAATACTCTCATCAGGACAGCGGGAAAGGCATTCCAGTGCTAGTGATGTGAGTTGAAATCCACTAAATTTCTTTGAAAGTCCTCCCGAATGATTGATGATATAGGTGCTAGTGACCCAATTTAATATGGAGCAACCAGGGGTGTCCATTCTTCCCTCTAGAACTTACTGACAAAAATGTACCAAATGCAGTTTTTTCCCTGCTTTCTAATTCCGTAGCCAGTAATCCGAACAAGCAGCTTATGCGAATTTAGTCTAGAAGAGAGAACAGAGTTTACATTTTCNTTAGGATTTCTTGCTGAACCTCTGGAATGTGAGGTGATGTGATGTGTTCCGGAGGTAGTGACTCAAGCGTTTCGCTCCTCTGTATTAGCGTGTTCTTACACAAACTACTCAAGCTTCTTGGGTACGTTAAATCAAATTAAATCATAACCTCGACGTTCTCGGCGGGACCTTTAAGGTCAATGCAAATTGTATATCATGGCCAAAAAGATGAGTAGAATTGTCTTGTCGCTGCTGCCATTCTATGATTTGATGAAGCACCACATTTATTAAGTCACGGCTGTCAAAATCTACTGAATAAAAGCGACGCTTAGAGCAAATTCCATGCGTTCAATAATATATTCGCTATTGCAATTAAACCAGACCTTATCACTGAGATAGAATTTACAATTCACTCGTCGGTGCTAGGCATGGACAAGATAGTTTTGCAGGCACAGAGTCAGACAGGCAGACAGACGGGTGTATATAAGTAACAGGCGTGTACCATATAATTGTGATTATAAGTGTACATACAAATCTCTCTGTTCATTCATAAGGTTTTTTGAACTTTCCTTCTGATGGTCCCGCTTTTATGAGACAGCAGGCTAACAGAATGCCAGAAATCTGGTGGGAGCGTAATGCCTGCCTAGTGGTCGTTAGATTTTTTGCTAGGCGGTCAGACTAGTGAAGGTAACAGCTACCACCACGGCACTTTCACACATTTTATCATAGAAAGAGAAACGCAAAACTGAGATCGAGGCGCCTGCAACTAGAAACGGCCTGACAACTCGCTTGGAGATAATAAAATCCCCATTTTTTAACATGGTAACCGCAAAAAAATGCAGCTGAAAAAGAATAAGCAAAATTAGGGACAAAACCGTGCAAAGGCCTGGAGGGACGCAGTCATCCGCTAGATAAGGTGAGTTTTTTAAGTTCCAAGATATCTCGGTATGTGCTCCAACTCAATGTAGGAAAGATGAGTACACTAAGATACTCGCAACCGTGGACCTTGACAAATTGGTGCTTGGTACTGGGATGCTCAAACTCTTCGGATAACATAAAGTGACCGATGACAAGAAAATAACTTATAAACATCCTACAGTGTTCAGTGTCAGGCAGGTCACGTTTTTCCAAAAAGGGACTGATTTTCTTATATAAGATATCTGAGAGAAATGTCTTAATATGTATGGAAAAGCTCCAATTTTACAATCCCCAAAAATGGTCGTTGGTTTGTTCGCTGAGCTGGACAGTTTGATTGCAAACGTCCCATCACCAATCAAGGTGACGCCATCAGTGCGTTGTTACGGAGCGTAGCGGTGAGTTGCTGGTGGTGCGTTGAGTAGTTCTGCGTGTTTAATAATATACGTGCTGCTAACCGGGACTGATCATCGATCACGATTAGTTGATAGGTTAGGCGATTTCACTGTTGCTCTGCTTTAGTGTGTACTGATTCGTCGATGCACATGTGACCTTTGGGTCTGGTATTCCCCGCCCTCGTACTCTGGTCGATGCTGGAGTGAACTCTGTCCTCGACTCTTCTGAGTTATGGCTTGTGACCATCGTCGATTGGCCCCAAGGAGTCCCTTGTTTCCGTTATTCTGTTCTCCTTGAGTATTCCGGTTGAGATGTCGGTCCGCTGTACGTGGTGGTGCGGAAATTAAATCCAGCTCGGTGTATCGATTGATTGAACCGCCGTGGAGTACTGTGCTCCCAGAAATTCCCTTGTGTCTCGTGTCTCCTGCCAGAATTTTTTTGGGTTTTCTACATCCCGTGTACCAGAGTTTTCAGTTACATAAATTTCTCTCCAATGTATCTATGTGGATACAAGCCTTCCCAGGATAAACGCTTGGTAGATTTTTATATTTGTCGTGACTGTGGTATGAAAAAGCACACCTTTCGTAGGTAAAAACTTTAATCCATGTGAATCATTAGCAAAGCTAGTCCAGTAGGATACAAAGTGGTTGACACCAAAATAATAAAAGCAGACACATGTCCTGTTTTAAACCGATGTTTTACCCTGATTTTACTAACAGAAGAACAGCCGTAAGAGAAATAAGTTACATCTACGCAATCTGAATCAGTGTCACTCACCAAACAATCACCTAAAACTAACAACCAACACGACCGGTTAAATACCAGGAATAGAAAAATTCAGCGCTATTGAGAGTAAGTCTGTTCATCACTTTAATTGTTTTGTAATAAAAGGTAGGAATAAATGCGTTTTTTGACGATGGAGAACCCTTGTATCGGGGGTCATGGGCGATATTTGCTCTGGCTGTCACCTTCAGAAGCATAGGAAAAATTCCCTAATGGGAAACAAAACAGGCAAACGGAGCCTACCGAAATGGACGTTTAAATGAGTTATTCACTATCCAGCAATCCGCACTAGAACCATTTTTTTTACCGAATTTGCTGGTTTTCAAAATTCCGAAGGCTTATTTGAAAGATACATTTTAGCGCTCATCTAGTAAGGCTCAACTCGATCATTTTTAAAGACTCATGTGTGGTTGCATGTGAAAATTAGGCTATGTTATGTTGAATGTGGACAACAAAAAAGCCTCAGTCAGCATAATATTAAGTTGTCACTCCAGCAAATTTCTGCTAGGTAATCAGTTTTTTTAAAACACGCCAATGAACACAGCTATCATATCGAAAAAATTTACCTGGTCGAACTGAGATATGGTTGTGTAGTGGATGGATTGTTCCTGTGGTATTGTTTGCCGGTGATCCCATCTAAAAGAGAACGTAAAAGAATAATCCGACTACTTCTGTTGAGTCCATTTTGCGGTTAGAGTAATACACTTCTCGACATCTGCTTAATCCGGTATTGCGTTACTCTGTAATATTCCTCAGGGTGGTTACCTGATCTACATCTGATTTTACTAGAGGATAAACAGAATTTGCAACTCAAATAATACCGGAACTACGCAGGTACCAAAACAGGTAATTGGGGTCATACGGATTTGTTTTCGCTTTTTTGCCATTTCCACTGAGGGCATTTAGTGAGTCCATCACACCAGACAAACTGAAGTTCAAAGTTTCAGGTGTAAGAACATAGAAAAGCGAGTGTCAAGTTAACTGTGTCAGATAATCATTCCAACCTGATTTTTGGTGCACATTATCATCCAGTTACAAAGCTCTGAATTGCTGTCCGATTCTGCATCTTTACAAGGCACTTCATAATTTGTGATCCAAAAGTTTTCAGATAAAGCGCCTCGGTCTCCTTTAAAAGATAACTAGGTAACTCCTCGTAAAGCCCTTGAGAGAACTAAGTGGGGGACCTAAAGATAACTCAAAGTACAACTGTTTGAGTTTTAGGACTAGGTTTGACGAATTCAGATTTCTGTTGGCACGCTTGGAAATTTTCATCGGCTCATTCATAGGATTTCACTAAGAGAGTGAATGAAAGCACAGAGATATTTAGGTATGAAAAGGCATAATTCTTTTTAAACGGCTTTCTCTCCTGAGCAAAAAAACCGGTTTTATTTCCCGTTTTATCAAGTCTATCCAGACCAAAGGCACGACAATGGTAAACTTCACCGTTTCGCTTTCGGTTTTCAGTTTTGTTATACAGACGATTGACACCACTTTCTTCGGGTTTTGGCAAAACCCAATACACACTACACTGAAAGAACGGACTTATGAAGGCAGCAACATTTAACTTGGCCATCCAGATTGCTTTTATTTCGCTATACCATCTGTTTTGCTCGGAGCAGGATAATGGCTCGCAATTATGTATCTACATTAAACAGGAACTTCCGTGCTAAACATCATCCTGATGTCATTAGAGACAAACATATCCGTAAGACATAAACATTATATGACGGCCTTATGACATTAACTCATCTAAGCAATTGGTGAGGAACACGCCAACACCAACTGCCACTTGACCTTTGTTTCATTACTACCCTGACATTTTATTATGCTGATATATGTGCTTTGCGCACTGATACTCTCGTTGGTTACACTAGTACCGTTGCAAAACAGTAACTTTTGCGATTTGGGGAAGATGCAAACATTTGGTTTAAGCTTAAGCCATGCACTGACCTCAAAAATCCGGAATTTATCGGACACACTTGATCAGTTAGACAGAGTTATAAATAAAAACCAGAAACATCTGCACAATGTTTCCGAAATCCATACACCAGGTGCCTTGAATTTTCAAGACATAACTCACGTGACTTCCAAATTAGAAGCTACTTCAGTTTATGAATGCCAGCAAGCGTGACCGAATACCGCGCTAGTTGTTTAGTCAAACTAACTAGTTCCAAAAGTGCCTGATTACGTATCCGAATGGAATGGGTGAAACAAAGCAAGGTTTCAGCGCAAAAGGCTTACCGACCATAACTAGTCGGTTATGATACGCTCTCAGTCTATATAGCGAACAAAGTGAAATTCATCAGAGATGCTGAAGAAAATCTATTTTGAAAAGACGAAGTGTACAAGATACAAACATTGGCAACCTCTGAGTCTTCGCGGTTTTGGTAAAGCAGGGAACTTGAAGGAACATCGTGGTTTACTGAATCACAACCCAGTAACTGTCCAATCTCAGGCTGTGAAGAAGCTGACACCTGAATAAGCCAAATGCATCATGAACAGCAGCCTACTCATTTAATGCACTTCTCTCTTCGAGATTCTTGCGGTTCATGTGGTAATTGAGTTACAATCTCGATTAGATCCTGGATACAGAGGCGAGATTTCATCCGTTAGACATTAGGTGAGTAAAATTTACACCAGCAAACATTTGTTGTGATGTGAAAGTGAAAGCCGAAGGGACAGAGGATTAACCTTGACGACTTCTTCAAATATTGCAAGGGGTATTTGGCATTCGATTTTGTGGACCATGGTCAGTACCGATGGCTGAAAAGCAACCAGCACTTCTGTGGGATTATAAAGCGGAGAAGATGCCTGATCGGTTAAGTGACTGAGATTATCACAACTTGTTTCCCTACTTCAAACAGAGATTAATTAGGCTGGAGACCTGCGATGGGACTCAACTTGCAAGTGGAAAGGACATTGTTGTATTTTCATAGGAAAGGAATTTCAACAGTAATTTACCTGGAAGAGTGGCCTGCGGTTCGAATAGATAGCAGCCTCTTTATGGCAAAAACAAACCACAGTTTTCAAAAGGGAATTCGACCCTGTCTTAAATTGATACCTATCGAGTTTGATATCTTTAGCTGTGTGGTAACTTTGGTAGTTTCAACGTATTGTTTCCTAGTACCATTCTTCGACCAAGTACGGAGTTCTGAAAATCCTTATGGGGCCGAAAATTGGACGCTTCGTTGTAAAACGAAAATGGAGTATCGCCTCCTTAAGAAATTTGATCAAGCTGCTCAAAATGGGGCCAACTTTTTTGCCAGGTTACTGACCGTTTCTCACGCTTGACCGGTTAGGTGCTTGCTATAACTGCTAGAGAGAAGATGTAAAGTTTGGAGAGATAGAATTTAACTGAAGCTTCTTACTCAAAAATTGTACTCCGGTCTAACCTACCACCGAGTAGTTCGTTCCCACATTTTGGACGGAGTTGTTCAAAAAGTGCTTTTTGTAAAGTAATACCTTATCTTGAAGAAAACTATGAAATACACGTGAAACCTGCCCGCAAGTTTTGTGCTCGTATATAAAACTCTCAAAACCATCTAACCAGCTTCAGTTCATGCATCGTCTTATCGACGGGGCCAGTAGGCAACACGATGTCCCTAGACCTTGACCGAATGTGGTATGACAGAACACCAAAAAACAACAATTGTTCTGGTTGGTGATCAGGTGGCTGTTGATCTGTTCGCCGAGATTGGCAATTGGCTTGCAAACGTTTCGTCACCATACAAGGAGACATCCTCAGTGCGCAGTTGGGTGGGTACTTCTTCCTTGCCTGAGTGCGTTTATATAGGGACGCAAACCACAACGCAAAAAAGGTCACAAGCGGACCAATAGATTCACCAAATTCGTTACACTTCAAGTAGCCAATCACGTCAGAAGATAACAGAGAGAATTCGAATGCTATATAAACGCGCTCACGCAAGTAAGAAGTACCCACCCAACTGCGCACTGACGGTGTCTCTTCGTATGGTGACGAAAAGTTTGCAAGCCAGTTGCCAAGCTCGGGGAACAGATCAACAGCCATCTGATCAACAACCGATAAACTCACCCGAGCTACCAATATTTCAACACATTACCAACAATAATTATACTTTGCGAACATGGTTTATTATCAGATACTCATTTGCACACAAATTCGGTGTCGACAAGTGGCTCAGCTGAATCCAGCTAAATCTCTCGTTCACGATGATAGGAGAGTCTTCAGTGTGTTGCGTCTGAACAACATGTTTGCCTGGATAACACCGCTTAACTTCTACAGAACCGTTCCGTAACGCTCAACTATCCAAAACGCCCAATAGGGACTGAGAAACTATGCTTGCTGAGCAACTGAATGACGATCCTAAAGCGCTTACTACCCTTGATTCGAACGGCAATACACAAAGTGCTGACGAACCTGCACAAAGTAAAACAATTTCGCTGGTCGCTGTTGTGTTTTGAAAGACAAAGCACATACACCGACGTATAAGAATGTGTTTAAAACTAGGATGAGATAGCAAAAGGTGAAGTACGAGCCAATATAAAAACTAAGATACATCTACAGTCTAGACGAATAGAAATAAATCGTTCCAGGAATATCATGAAATATAGTCCCTCTAACACTGGTTTTTGTTCAGCTTCGACCGAATTCGTAACAGAGTGTATATAAGCAGATCCCGGTAACTTTGAAATGTACGTTTAATGCACTTAACTTATGCAATACAGTGAACTATTACCTACTGCCTAATTAATCATCCGTAAGTCATCACCCGTTCAAGATAAATGGGGCCTCGTGGAAATGGAAGCTAATATATAGTTGGAATTAACTCACTCTACTAAATGTATCTGGCCAAATGATTTCAAATTTAGATCGCCATTTCCAAGGAATTAAAAAAGGTGTATAATCCCCAAAAATGTCTGATCTATTACCGGCCAGGACAACTTGGGGAAGACTTCCTACCCCTGCAATCCCTATTTACTGGTTGACTGTCACAATGAACGTACTGTGACTGAAACAATACTTACACGTTATTCACCTTCATACATTTCCTTAGAAACACGTTTGCATTGACCAATAGCCTAGCCCAGGGTAAACATTGCAACTATTTTATCTAGTGAAGTTGTTGGAAGTGAAGCAAATTTATCGAGTTAACTAAATGAAAAGTCAGAATTATTCGTATGGACCACCAATTCGAAAGGATACCATCCAGACAGATGAGAACTCCAGGTGTTTTCCAAGGTGTTCCTTCAAGTACGACACATCGTCTCATTCCTCATTGATTATAAGTGCTGGACTAAAAACAAATTTTCGTTGCCAGTGTGTGGATCGAGAAAGATTATCACAAACCTTCTAAACTTGTGTAAAGCAACCGTTCTAACCAGGAATCGTGTGATCAGCTAAGTATATAATCAAAGTTCTAAAGTCTTACTGGATATATAAGGAATCTACAGTTTTTATTAGCCTAATCATACAGTCCAATATAACCATTTCAATGAAAAACGATCCCTGTATCAGTACACTTTGTCGGCGACTTACCGTGGGATGGAATTTGGCCGGCACTCCACAATCAATGGTGGAGCCGGAAATCAAAGGCCATCTTCGCAGAGTGTCAACTGTTCGTGGTGGCATTTGGTAGGCACTGTTAGTCAAGCAGCTGGACTGATACGCCCCGTGCGTCTCGGTGCTTTTTTCCAAACTGGATTCAAAAGTTGTCTCAAGATTCCTCTGTTCGGTTCGGCATTCGTTGATGGAATCTTTGAGCTGCTCCTTCACTGATGAATCACTTGTCCCATCGGAGTGTTGAGGGTTACTGGGTGACTGTAAATCAGTGTAGCTCAGTGGATTACTCATTTTCCTTGCAGACCAGTCCGGTTCGCCAATTTCCGGATTGCTTTCTACAGAGAAAACATTCATACGGTACTTTGCGAGACAAAACGATGAGTACGAGAATGCATTACAGTAGTTTACCCAACTACTCTGAAATTGCTGACTCTTCACTACGTTTATCATGTTGTGAGTATTCGGCTAGTCTCTTTGGTGTTAGGGGAATCAGACCCCCCTTCTGTTTGAAAATATATCTGACCTTAAGCGCAAATGGTGCCCTAGGAACAAGGCAAGCACTCGGTTACGTAAAACGCTACGTAAAGTTACCAGTGGTATGAGAGTACCCAGTTTGCAGTTTGTATGTTGTGAAACCACATTATAGCCTTTCTCAACAACAACATCCTCTCCAGAATAAGCGACTTTCATCTGACCCATCATAATTACTCGGTCGCGGTTTTGGTAAATTTTATAAACTTCGATGCCCCAAGCATCCGTCCAGCTGAAACACGAGGTATTCTCTGTGGGGTAGATTCAGTTAAAGAACATCCTGAATGAATGATTAAGCCGATATTCATTTGAGTTACCCGCCACCATCAAATTCATTTTCCAGTGTATCTCGCCACCCGGTAATCAGTTTATTTGGCCCAGTCACTGCAAGTTCAATTCCTGTCTACTGAGCGTCAACTCCTGGTTATATTGGATAGTCTTCTTGTTTTTTTGCCTTTCAAGCTGGAACGGAAAGTGACCTAATCCAGGACCATCGTGAAACGCCGGAATGTAGTATGTCTCTTTCAATTTAGTAAAAATCCGGAGGTCTGTGAAATACGCGCTGCTAGTGATTCACACTAGTGAGGAAACAACGGTGCACTTCTTCTCGGGCCTTAAGCATGGAATCGCCCCACTTACGGGATAAAAAATCTTGGTAAAAAATTCCAAATCCCCTCACACCATTAACAGAAACAAAAGGTCCATTTATCGTTGTCGCCACAGGTTCAACTTACCATTCAGCAAATCTTTGACAAAAAAGCATGTAAAATCCAAATTGGTTCTGTCTTCTCTGAAAAATTTAAACTAAGTCCAGTACATTCTACCGGAGATATGATACAAATGAATTTTTCACCAGTTGCTTTAGGTTAAAGCCAACATGTTTGCTTCTGTTCAGCCAACTTTGTGACTGAACGAGACATTAGGTTTTCCCATGGCTTTAATCCGGCATATCTTTGTTCACTTTTTTAATGAATAGCTCTGTAGCCGTCGGAGTCTCAAACTCGACTTCCCCACAGAAAAAAAACAGTTGAAACGGTATTTCCGCTGTCACACAAAACACAATAGGTAGTTCACATTACCCCTGCTGGATGGACAGACACATCAGTGGTGGGAACCGGTAAAGCTGTTGAATAGTTCCTCCGGGGCCAGCTTTTCTTACAGGTCGACCAAATGTCACCCATTGTCAGAATGGTTGGGCTTATTTGCAGACAAAAAAACCGATGGTGCACTCGTGTTTGTGCATTTATTTCTGCGGCTAAGACGATGCCAAAAGGAACTTGGGAGTCAGAGCAACTGAATGGGCTTCTCACACAGCAACCAAGGGTTTCCTGACTAACGCTCTCCCATCACCATCACCACCACCGCCACAAGCATTGACAGTAACAGTAGCGTGCGCAGCCACCATTACCAATGCCTCCTATCCCACAATAGTCCGCAAGCTGTTGTGCGTCACTGTACATGAACCGACCGCATGAGTCACAACTGTGAATTGGTGGACTGCCGAATGTGGCCAAGCACAAGTTGTCACAAAGAGCGAAGCGTAACTAACAGCACGTTTGTGTGCTACCAGAATTCGACCAAAATCACTGGATTTATGAGCCAAAATCACTTTTTGACACACTGGATCTACTACATCTTGCCTTTAGCTTGCATCTTCCTGAATGTGGTTAAGAAACAAATAAAAGAACACAAAGTGCAAGTTCTCATCGAGTCGGTTCATATGCTAAGTGGAGGACGGTTAGACTGTGTCAAAGATTGTGAGAGATGACACGCCCCACAGAATGTCCTCGCATGTCAAAAGTAGCTCTCAGAACAGGTCGAGGGCGACTGTTGAAGAGCTTAGAAGAACATTTTATGCAATCAGCTACCTTATCTTTTTCCTTAACATCAGTCAAGAATTTGCCGCATACGGTGAGGAGCTGTTGGTCTGACATGAGTAAAGATTGTAAGCCACAGACGAATAGGATTTGGGATGCTCTGTATCAAGCAAAGATTGTCTTGAACCACTGCCGGATCCCATAGAATCTCAGTTAAACTTAGAATGAGTCAGTTACCGAACCCATGACTTGGGCCAAGACGTTTAAACCTGGAGGTAAGTGGTATCGTCGGTTTCCAACGATGAAATTTTTCTCCCATAAAAAATTAATTTTTCCTTAGGCAATGTAAAATGATATTAGTCCAAAAATGTTTCTTTGGACGCATACAAAACAGAGGGCTCTGATCCGGTAAATTCTCTACTCAGTACGCTAGATGACACCATATTGGGTTATGTGATAGGTGTTGTTCCGGGTTGTGTTAGGCTAGATCTTCAGTACAGATTATACGATGCCAATCAGGTATTAGCAACTAATTGGTAGAACACTCATTCCCTACCCCGAAGGTTGCTTGTCCAACATTCGTGCGCTCACTGTTGACAGATCACAATAAGTACGGATGGGCTGCATGGTGCTTCTTGACCTTTGGCACTGGTTGAGCTGAATTGTGGAATGAGAGTTAAAAATGTCAGCCTTTTTGTTAGCTTGGAGGTAAACAGACCTCCGTCACCAACATGGGGCTTCAACAAGGAGGACATAGTATTTCGATGCCGTTTTGAAATGCCCGTAAAACCTCAAACTAAGACCATGGAGAAAAGCCAAACTTTACGCCTGGTCTTAGGGTTTAGTCAGTCTTTTCTGGGAACCAAAATATCTCTCCTGCAGTTTTAACCAACTAGTTTCTCTGAGGAGTGACAATGACGAAGAAATTCTGTCATGATGAGTTGTCTCGCTGGTGTTAACTTTGATCATGGGGCTTACACTTGAGATAGCGCCATAAGACAAAACTTACTGGGTGCGAAAAAGTCAACCAAATGCTGACAAGCCTAAATTGGACGATCAATGAGCTCTAAAAAATGGTAATCGGGTCTCTGATGCAGCTACTGCAACTCTGATGTAAGACTAGGATTTTCTCTAACGAGAAGACATCTAATTCCCACGAAGTTTAGGCATCATCACTGTTTATTACCAAATGCCACTCACATCCATGGTCGTAATCACCAACGTCAGCAACAGGCCACAGAGGCGCAGTGGGTAGCAGCAATACTAACTGCCAAATGGTCGACACCGATAACAATGTTAAACTTTGGCACCCTACAGTTACCCGACCATGTCAGTCATTTGGAAAAAAGCTCCAAACTGAGAAGTAAACAAAGCAGGACACAGTGGGGCCTTGTTCTAGCCTGAAACAGACATCTGATGGTGGTTAACTATTTTGAATTTTCCATCATGCCCTATGGAATTTGAAAACATTTGAAGACGTTTAAAAGAGAAAAATATAGTCCGAAATTAGTGCCACCTTGACTGAAGGGAATGTCTGTCGTACCTTCTCTGTTTTCAGCCACTAACCGTGAGATGCGCAACGCTGATAGGTCACAACAAGGATTAAATGACTGTAAAGTGCATTCCAAAATGTTGTTGGATCAAATTTCCTAAAAAATTGATCCCTATCGCAACTATAAGCATAGCTTACAGTTAAAGAACATTTTTCCAACTAATTTCTTCGCTTATTATTTTATGTATTTCAACTGCCATTAGCACATATTAGATCACATAAAGTGGGATTCAACATGACTTAATAGTCTTCAGGAGGTTCTGATATCTCGGCTGACACGTCTTCTAATAGATAACAAATTCTTTGTCAAAAATTCGTGAAACATTGTACAGCTGGTTCATTTTTTGGAAATCACCAGAGTTATACTTCTCACGGAATTTTACAGATGTCGGAACGGGTGACCTGGTGGCTGGTAGCTGGACAAGGTATCATCAGTACTTGCCTGATTTGTGTCATCGTTCACAAGAAGAAAGATGAGCGTTTCACTCTCAGCGTTTGCACGTCTACTTTATGAATGATTTGCTGTAGGTAACTAAGAAGAACTCCCAATAAGTGAACAAAACAATAATCATCGCCGAGAAGTATCGCGGTTTTCGAAACCATAATTATCGACGGTATAAATACAGAGAAATTTTGTTTGAGGCTATGAATAACCCCCACACCAGCCGGCTGCAAAATGCTAACATCACTTCAGTTTTTTGGATTAGTATTGACAGCTTTAATCCTCAAAAAATAAACGTGTCTTGTTAGCTGGCGACTTTATCTTTCAGATCTGATCAGTCGTGTAATCATAACATGAATGATAGCCCAGTCCTCTTATCCGTTTAGGTCTAGCGGGATTTCGGGTTTTGATGGGAAGAACCTGATAAGCTAAGTTTTTGCATAATGATCAAAGTTGAGCACTTTCATTGCCTTGAGCCATGGGTCCGAAAAATTGAGAGCGGTTTCAGCTCACTGTGATGGAGGTAGGATCATCATTCACTGTTCGCTGAACTGAACAAATGTGAGCGCTAAATAAAGTGGACACTATTTGTGTTTCAGCACTTCTGTTCAGTAAGCTTTAGGTGAGATTATTTACAGCTTTGCACAACATCCATGCCCTAACTTAATCCAAGAAGCTCTCTGAGGATTTTTATCTAGCATCCTGCACCCAGCTGGCCATTTATTTTGAGCAGCTAGTAAGTTAGTTGTGAAGTTTTGGTCAAATTACTAAGTAGAGTAATGGTATGATTTCCATCCAGTCGTTCTGTGAGAGCAAAGTGGGTTAGAATAACCCTTCAGTAGTAAAGTACGTAAAATAGGCTTAGATCATTTCATTGCGGCAAAGTAGTGATGGGAGCCTATAGCATGATAGGGACTGGAAACCAGTAGTATGTACAGTACCCATCCTGCAGGAAACCATTCATCAGTCCAATCACGAAAAAACGCACTTTGTGCATGAGGCAAATTTTCTAACAAAGCTAACATTTTACGCTTTTAAAGGTCATCCTAGAAGAGCAGTGTAAACTTTAGGAATTGTGCTGGGCGGAAGAGCTACCAGTGTTCGACAAATACACTGATGTGTATACCGATTTGGTTTCCATGAAAGACTCTCCTTAATCCCAGCTAGAAAGCTTGTTTTTGCTATTTTTCAATTGAATATCCTTCATAAAGGTCATCACATATTTCAGTTGGTGTCACAGTACAGTCTGTAAATGGTGTACGTGCCAACAAGGTTGCTGAAAACTCTTTGACAGCCCAATAGAGGTTTCGCCTCCTTCGGGAGCATTGGAAGGATGCAGTTCCAAAATTTCCACCAAACTTATGTTTTATTAAGCCCAATTCTAGCCTGGCATAGGAAAGCTCTCTTCCTTGGCACGTTTTATAATTTGTGAAATTTCTCACAACCATTCTGGTTGGTTTATTTCAAGCAACTCATACATCATGGTCATCTTCCATATTGGATGAGAGTTTTGATTGAAAGTGCCCGCCCTTTCAATGACCCACACTCACTAATTTTTGGGAGTCTCTAAAGAAGTATGCTAGCAGATTAGTATGCTTAGCTTTTGATTATCATTCAACATAAATGTGATCCAGTCGCGTGTTAGTTCTCTACCCAGTGTTCCAAAGTACTGGCATCAGACAAGAAGAATGATTTATTTTTTGACAAAACATACTACTCTAAAACATTGGCAGGCACGACTCGTTTCACTTTCTCTGGAGCTCATCATGAAAGGCGCAGCCTTCGAGTTTTCGTCAAACGTATATCCTACTCGAACCCGAGATGCCCGGGGAACTAATTTAGTTTGATCAAAAAGTCTTCTCTGAATCCCAGCTGAATCCCATCCGTATAGTACTCTTCAACCAGATTGGTTGGCAATTAACTGTGTTTTGGAAATGGCGTATAATTCGGACTCAGGTAGAGCACAATTATGATGAAGTCTGCCTGAAGAAGGAAAAACCGGCAGTGCACAGTCAAAGACTTTTCAACAATCGTATGCTTGATGGGTTTTCGACAAGAAGACCTATTCCGATAGAACGAATATTGTATCAACTGAGGCATGAACTGAACATTCGGTTGAAGAGAAGCATTAATGGGGGAGTCAGCTGGATCAATTTGAGTCTTCAGTTAGAGCTGACTTATTCCACTGATGACGGTATTTCGCCAGATTGATGTACTTCCAGGAGGAGAAGTGCTTCAATTTAAAATAGAAAGAGAATCTACTTTAGGAATCCAAACATGATAAGTTGCTTTAGGCCTTGTATCAAGGTGTAATCTCATAAAGTGATGAAACATCGGGGTAAGTGATAGTAACGACACTCAGTGTCGTTCCTTTCCTATGATGATATGACTGATTAAACTTGATACAGCAGCTCATTCTCGTTGTGAATATATATATTTAAAATTAGGAAACTTTAGAGTGAGATCAACTTTTTGTCAAATATAATCAGAACGAGTTCTAAAATAGAGATTTTGGCATGCAGATACATTTTTGTTGTGGCATTTAAGTTGAAGGTCTTCCACTGTTGTTAGCTTCTTCCTATCTTCGATATTCCGGAAAGACTAAATGCAGGAATTCCTCAAGTGGGCAGCTGGTAGATCTTACACACTGGCGGTGTAGTTAGGTTCTATAGTGTTTTTACATCTTTTTTGGTCAAAAGCAAATCCAAATCGATGTTTTAACATTTCACCATTCACTGAAGCCTACTGAAAGCTCAAATTTCGGACCAAAGCCTTTTCAGTATACTGTCCTGGAGTAGTATGCTAGACAGTGGTTGTTTTTTGCCAAACTCTTCACATCCAATTGCCATAATAGGCCTATTTGGTCGTAGGTGGGAATAGCATGAAATAAGCTTTTCTTAAGTTGCACTATAAAGTCTGCTACTATACAACTTTTGTCGGCTTTATGACAAAAGATCACAACCAAATGCGGATCAGTGTAGAGGTCATACGACAAAATATTTTTGCCCCATTTTGTAGGTGGACCGTTTGTTTGCCCTCCATCAATAGGCATGTGAACTGATGTGCACGCACAGGCGGTTAAAGGCGAAATAAGTCACAAGTTTATATTTCGTTCAAGTAGATGTGTGCTTTTATTGAAGGTTTGCTGGTCNGTAGGTTTGATGTATGATTCGTTACGTAAAGAGGGTATTATCCTCGCGTTAGCATTTTTCTAATCACCTGATCGAACCACGTGCTTAGCGAGTGTGCCAAAACATTTGGAACTTGCTCTTCCCTCAGGTATGTTGCTGTGCCCCAGAAAATTAACGTTAGGTAAAATCGAACATATTTGTCTAGGCAATTAACAATCTGTTCGGTGTATTGATTATTTATCTCACATACGTCCTAATTAGCCGTTCCTAAACCAGTTAAATGTAAATACTATCCTGTTAATTTTTCAACTATTTTAATCTTCTTCAGTAGAAAAACAAGCTTTCAAAAAATGAAACAGCGAGTTTCAATCTTTCATCGGGAAAATAGTATTTCCCTGATGGTACCTTAAATGAAAACGAGACTGAAACTATTATGGGGACCAGAAAAGATATGAAGTACGGTTAAATTAATGTGGTATTTTTTTACCAAAACTGAACTTACCGATCTCTTTCTCCCGGGAGAAATATCCAAGGGAACGGTGCCGAATCAAACACACCAAAAGAATAGTTGCCGCAAGCACGGAAATGAAAAGCACCGAAAGACAAATAATGATAATTTCGTTGATCGAATAGCGTCCAGTTGCTCTGCTGGTTGCAAGCATGCCATACGCCATTGAACCAGAGCTTGTCCCCACAGTGTGACCGCTTGCCGCGGATGACAATAGTTCGTTCCTTCGACTCTGTACAGCTTTCTCTTTTCTTCTCAGAACCGAGTCTGAAATTTGCCCGCTATGGCTGTCATTCTCCATCGCGTCAACTTCCCCATCCAGCCTATTGTTGATCAAAATTTTTAGATTGCTGAAAAGTGTACACTTTTGTTTGGGATGTTTGCCTTGATCACACGCTTCCAGTGTCAACATGTGAAAACTGGGGCCAACAAGAGCAGGGGACACATCTACTCTGGTGTCGCCAGCTAAATTAACTGTGACGTTCTTCGTCAGTGAGTCATGATCAGACATTGATGTCCCTCTGAACAGACCGGATAGATAAAGCAGACCGGTGGTACTGTCAAGTCCAAACAAACCGTTTGTGTTTCCGGACCGAATGCTGTAGGTGATTAGTGCGTTTTCGCCATCATCTGCGTCAGTGGCCTGAATGTAGGCTAACTTGTGTCCCAACGTTTCATCAACAGCTACAGCAAGAGTATTCGCGGTTGAGTTTGGGTTGACAAAAACGGGCCAATTATCGTTCTCGTCGTCAATTAGTACAGTCACCTTGCAGGTTCCTGTAAGTTGCAGAGAGGATAGCGACTTGCTGTTCGATGAATGAACGCTTGTATCCTTCGCCAAAACAGTAAACACATAACGTGCCTGTTTTTCTCGATCGAGTGCTTGCCGGCAACGTATTACGCCAGTCATCTTGTCTACCCGAAAGTTTGTTGCGTCCGATTCATCCCCAACAAAGTAGTGGATAGGGCCGTAAATATCACTGTCCAAATCAGTTGCAGTGACCTGACCAACTTGTGTTGCTCTAGGTTGATTTTCCGCGAGATGAAATGTGTATTCCGCAGATCCAAACTGCGGCGCATTGTCATTCACATCTAAAACGGTAATCTGAAATGTGAAAAGAATAAACCCCAAAACTAAATTATCCCAAGTACTTTTAAGATAAAGCATGTTGAAAGACAACAACAAATGCAGCGCCGAAATCCGTTGGTCAAACAGAGTTACTTTGACGATTTTGTTTCACAACTAATCACACATTACTTTTGACATCCTCAACATTTTGTCACTGCTATCAGCTACAGTTTGTCGACAATGAGCAGCAGTTCTTTTGGAGAAGCTCACTTAAGTAACAGGCCATGCCCCTGAAGAGGCTAAAACAAGGTAAATCTGATGGTGCAGATTTCCCCTCCCCGAGAGAAAACACGCATCTATGTGACACAGTAGGCCTCAATGCGGCTAATATCACCCCGGTAAATTAAACCGCAACATCAAGCATAGCAGATCATCAGGTTCATACAACAGTTTTTCCGTGCATTACATTCTTGAGTCTAACGTGTAAAGTGTCATCAGCGAACCCAAACTCGTGCGGGTACAAAGCAGATTAGCAGACCCTGCTCAAGCCAAGTGAAGATAAAAGAGACTGCACTTGGATTGATCAGAGTAGTAGTACAGAAATTTAATTGTTATGAGCTGTTAGAAAAGCAGACCCGAGAAATAGGTGAGTAACCAAAGGTTCTCGCTAAAATCTTATCAAACATGATTGCACATTTGTCCTTTGGACGTAGTTGTTTTCAGCAGGTCTTTACCACTGCTATTCATCAACTACATTTCGGTACATATTATTTTGGACTCGGGAGAATATAATACTCACCAGTTTACTGGATCTCCTTGAACAGCTCACGACCGGTTATTATCAGTAGACGCAATCCTTAGCTCCAGTCAAATTGAAATTCTACTTGAATCTAAATTGGACGCAATTGGCTTGGTAATTTGCAAGGTAAGTTGATACTAACCGAAAACTCAGTTGAATTCCAGTTGAGGCAGACTTTCTGGTGCGCGCGGAGTTGAAGGATATCACAAACGATAAGTTCAGTTGAATTTTAGTCGAATCTGTCGTGAAAATCAAATTGGTCTACAGGTAAGTGTATTTGGCCAATGTTTCTCCTGAATTTCTTTGATTCTTGCAGAGCGAATCGCATTCTCGTAAAGCCTGAAAGAGCGCTTAAAACGTTTAGATCATCTCACTTAATGTTCTGTGTAAGGAAGCCTCTTCAGCATACTTCTGTAACTCACATTTTCCGGTTTACTTTGATTTGCACAATTTTTGGCAACAAAATCTGGACTAAGTGTTTGGAAACGGAGATGTAACTGAACAGATGTTCCCAAATTTTGGCAAACTTAGAATCGTATCTCTCAATTTTATTGCAGTTCACTGAGCAATTTTCGATGCATTGCCTGGATTATTTTCGTTTTGAATATATCAGACACCCAATATCTCATTTGTTGATGCGCAGTTTAAGTTGCTTGTTCATCTTCTCTGATAAATAACTTTCAAAACCTAGAGCATTTTAGGTTCGATGTATCTGTGAATCGAAACTGACTAAATATGTGACATGAACGGCGCATAGTTGAGGACAAATGTGCCAAGGGGTATGCGTCTGGCAAACTTTACTTTTAAGAGGTTTAGCCACAGGTTCAGTCGTCCGTCTTAAGAGCATCTTTTACTTTTGTCATTGCACCGGAAATATTTTTCAAAAAAGAAAATTGTGTTTGTTATGAGAGTGCTTATCGTTATAGTGATGCTAGAAGAATTAAAAGACAAACGCATGCGGTTTTGTAAAGCAATCGAAGAACGAGATAGCACTCTCGCTTTATGATTTTGGCTTAGAAAAACTTAAATCCTCAGAACTTGTAATTATAAACCGTGCCAAAGAGACAGAATACGTTTGGGACTATTCTGACTATTCGCTAGTAATCAGATCTCAAACAAATTCTGAGGAAAAACAATAAAATTTATTCAGATATTACAATAATCCATCGCATGACACTTCGTGACAGTGCTTTGAGTGGACGTTTGCCGTTCTGTGTGATTCTGCTTGGCGGAAGGTCTACAAATTAATCAAGAAATGGAACTCAGCCTTTATACAAAGTAGTCTTTTGTATTTTGACTTAATTCAGGATGGTTGGTGAGTGTCCATACCTCGACAGTTTAATGGGTCGAGGTTTTTCCAAACGCGCTGTTACGTACGGAGAGAGAACCCACTTACGTGAACGACGTACTTCCAGCCCCGAAACCTGGTGATTATTGAAAATGTTTGCAACTAAGGAATCGGAGCAGGTTATATGACACCACAATATCCAACGTGTGTCTTCGGATGCACATTTACCACTGTCAGATGAGTTTTGTTGTGGCAAACGCAGGGAAATTGGATCGCTGTAACTCAGTGTAACACAGTCTCTGTCCAAAACGCCTCACTTATAAAAGCAGGATAACTGCGAATGCATATGGAAAGGAAAATGTTGACTAAAAGTAGCTAAGTACGTGCGCTCTTCCAAACTCTTTAGTAAAAATGTTTTTGTTTGTTAGTTTCGGCCAAAAAAGCTCGCTGTGCAGACGAAACCATTACACTTGTTTTCCCCAGGGATGGAACTGCATCGGGTTTTCTTCTCCACCCAAGCAGAAAGGAGCAACAATCAGATATATCAGACAATTATTTGCTCTTCACACCACTGCTGTAAGCGCTACAGTCGCTAGTTAGGCCTGTGGTAAATGAATATAGTCTGAATGTGTAGTTTCATGGAACTGAGGGACAGAAAATATCGAGTAATTATCCACATAGGTTGTAGATTTATCGATACCAAGAGACAGCTGTTGTTGACTTTTCCAATCAATGCGACATTTTCTGGAGCGTCGGAATTTCGGAGCACGATTATTTGTTGTCTTATGTGATACTGGCGTTTATGGGAAAATGCTTAGAGTTAACAATGACCATTCGATCTGATCGTGGCCGAAAAAAGAAACGTCAGTTTCGCCATCCCAGTGATCTCTGTTTTTGTTTGCATCTGAAGCTGCGAGAAATGGTCACAACAGTTCAACTCATTTGTTTCAGTTAGCACACGCCACTTGCTTTCTGAAATGATCCCACTTACTAGAATAGACGCTTTTTTGAAAATTCGTGGATGCTTGAAGGTGGAATCATGCTAGTTTCTTTAAGACTTTGTTCGGTCCGTATAATTATGGTGATCAATAACAGTATGAGGTCTTGCCCTGCACAGACGTTTACGTCACCATAAAACGGTGAATGCCATCGGGGAATTCAAGTCTAAACGGAGCAACATTTTGTGCAGCAAGGGGTATTTGGATGCTCAGGATACTTATCTTCAACCGCGGTCCTTTTTAATGAGCAACTCATTGGTTACTAATTTGTTACCTCTCACAATCGGGAAAAATTTCAGCTTACTATGAAAGTTTGAGTTATACTGCCAGCAAATAAATAAAGTAGCCCTAAGGATGGAGTTTTCTGTTCCACTATCAGAAATCAGTCAACTACGGGAGGAGAGATTGCCGTTGCACGAAGGACAAGTATGTCTACAAAAAATATTTGACTGGAAGATGGAGACACGACTATACTAGTGGTTAGGCATTCTCCAGGAACCGCTTGGTTTCTAGGCTTATTCCGGTCAAAATAGTCCGCCACCTACATTTCGGTTTCACAACCACCATTTCAGAAGTCACATTTGCAGGGCTAAGTCAGATAAGTGGCTTTACTGGCAAATAATGTCATGTGTAGAGACACGTCCTAGCATTTGTACTCACCCTTGAGCTTACACGTTCGTACATTTCCGGATATTCTTAGTAGGGATGTGAGAAAATAGGATAAATATTGTCGTATCAGTAGCCTTTAGTCTGGTATTTTAAGGCACATCAAGACTGAACAGTGCTTTACGTTCCATGTTTTTTCCGTCGGTTATTCGAAAGGATCATTCTGTGAGTAAAAACCATCTATGCCAAATGCCCTTTAAGCGCCGGACCTTCGTTTCTTCCCTGTTAGTTTTAGCTCAAATAAATATAACTGAATCTTTCTTTGATGATGCTTCTTTTTGCCTGAAAGTACTGATAAGACCGCCTCATGTTTAAGTTGGCATGTCAATCGAGATATCACATTGTCTATACCGGACGAAATGATGCCAAGTTTTCTGCCAAAGAGCTTTCGAAAAAACTTAAGATTAGTGTATTCCTTCTAGACAATGCTCCAGGTTAATCGCCCGTAATCTTATGTTTAGCCAGACTTATGAAAAAGGGTGCATAACAAAAATTCTCTGTTATGCATTCCTTGCCCAAAACGAGCGAAGAACTTTTATTCCATCTCAGACAAATGACCTTTTGGATGTGTGAACAGTGCTATCGGAACTAGATCGATGCGTTTACAGTTTTTACCAACCGAAGTTGAAAAGTGTTGCGTGAAATGTGCCTCAGTATTTCCTCCAAATCAACCATCATAATTAGCACAATTATGTCTACTTAGCAGTATCGACCGTCCAAGACCGACTACAACTTTTTATGTGGTAAGGACAAAACAGCAGCTTGTGGAGTGTACCGCACCATGGAACATCAATTCTACAGCAGGTTGTATGCCTATGAGCTGGAAGAACGTTAGAAAATGTAGAAGAGATATCTTTCTTAGTCATATTTCTACAGTGTAAGCAGTGCGTGGTCTCATATAACACAACTTAGAGATATATAAATTCGACGCAGCATGTCAAAAGTCAACAAGAGTGTTTATTTATTCATGCAAATTTATGTGCAGACTATGAATGAATTATACAAGAGGCTTATCATTTAACTGAAAGCAATCCTATTCACCTGAGGTAGGATTGTGTATCCCAAAATAGTTTCAAGGAGCTTCAAAAATCGTTCGTAATGCGAACAATACAGAAACCTTGCGGATTAATTCACTCATGTGCAAAACAAGAAGGGTACATTCAAGAAGTAATGCGAACTTGCTTTTACTAAAACGAGGCTGAGAAGGCATTTTTACACGACTCTTATTGACCTAGTTGATAACAGCACTCATTTTCGCCTCACTCATAAAATGTTGACAGAATCAAAAGGTACAGTTACGTTGAATTTGACGTTCAAAAATCAGAGATTAATGGGAACTAGAGAACTAAGCCTAATGCATCAGTAGGAGGATACTGAGAAATTTTTGTTCTCCTTACGCGTACCATTATTCCAAGAAGATGTTGCAAAATTCGGACTAAAAAATAAATTGGTTTCCTTGGATTATATCCCGTTGAATAGTACGGACACGAGTCACAGTTAGGTCTTTGTCAAACGCGAACCTAGTTTGCAAATAAGTGCACAAAATCCACTCGAAATGTAGTGCTTTTTGCATAAATAATGTGATTACTCAAGAAAACCCCAAATAAAGGCCACTGAGAACTTTGCAACCCTTATGTGAAGTTTGCAATTTTTCAAATTGATCTTGAAAATTCTCAATTCATTGGTCTAGTCATTCAGGTAGTTCGACGTAGAATCAAGGAAAAAGTGGCTTGCGCAAATATTCAAGCAGTTTGTGTTCAGATTGACCTGTTCCGCTGTGATTCAAATGATTGACAAATTAGCAGTCAGAAAATAATAAATCAACTGTCTTTGAACAGTAAGCATGTTTGTGAGTGGTGCACTCCTTAACCTGGGAAACAAATGGATATAATTTTCGAAAAGCTTGGGAACCAGCGGCAGATTTTCATAATGGAAACTGCTTAGAAGGTTGCTGGACGACGTTTCACCTTTGACACAAAAACTTCGTTGGACCGAGTAACTACGTTACAAGATTAATCGAGATTTGAGGCGAAAGTAGAACCAACCAGCTAAGTCATACTATGTCTGTATTAAGTGTCGGCAAAGGGTCTGTTTCTTCGGTTTTGGTTCACTTGAGGATTCTCTAGAATGTTGTTTGCACTTTTCGTTCGTCTGAATGGATGAGATAGTGCTACGATAGTTGTAACAGAGAAGGGTCCTGTGAAGTTCGGTCAGGTTGGGATTTCGACTCGCTCTTTTTGCTAATGATTCTACGTGCACTGACAACCACACGCAGTCAGTGTCAACTCGGCTTGGCTAAGAGAGCTCTCCATAGGCTCGCTAATTCCACACCCTCGATTCTATTATTGCTATGATGCGTGGTAATTTCCACCGCTTCGGGTATCAGCCACCGTGGTGTGAACCGCAGTCCCCGTCTTAAAACTTTCACATTCTCCAGATTTATTACATGTCCTGTGTCTAACGCATGTACCGCCATCGCTGAGTCTTTGACCAGCGCTTAGTATCATTCCGCATTCCTTGGCAGTTTGTTTTTCCTACTTTTATGCACACTTATTTTGGCGTGCAGTTTCCAGGCAGCTGGCCCATGTGAGCCTTATTGCAATTGCTGTATTTACTTTCATATACACTGTAGCAAGTCCATTCAAGCGGGAGAACATTCCAAATAGCAACAAAACTGAACGTAGATTTTCTCTCTCCCGGAAAACTACTCCAATATTGTTCGACAATCTTTGAACAACCTCCAATGTTCCTGCTTTACGTGCTTTACAGCCAATCCATCCCTTACTGGGTCCTGTTACCGGTTCCAATATCTTCCTCAACTGTCGCAAAATCAAAGTACTTGAGGTTTGTTGGTACTCTCGATCTGAGCTGCTGTTCGGTAGATCTCTTCTGTGCAAAGCGCTGTGACTCGACTGATGAGACAATACTGCCGTACACGACCTTTTGGAGTGATGAGGAGTGCTTTACGACAGTCCTTGTGCCTGTTGGTTTCTGGCATTTTCACCGCTCTTATGTGTCATACGGTTCAGGACGATTTATGTGTCCAAAGTGGATTATATCTCCATGCTAAGCTTGATGTGAGCAAGTAAACTGTTGAGATAGTCGTGGTGGTTGTTCACGTCATCACGTCCAATTACAAGAAATATATCGTCAAGATGACGTCAAAAAGCCATTTGGCTGTTGTAATGAAAAGCTGAGGAAGATAATTCTAAGAAATGCTATCTCTTTCTCTGTTGGTTGAAACGCATTTCTGTCCCATAAAACTGACAAAATGAAATTCACAACATAGGTCAGATTTGCAGATGCTTGGACGCTGTTGGGGAACAATCTGTGCTTATTTCAAACTTTGTGTGAAGCGGAAACTTCAAAGAGATCAAGTACACCATGAAACATGGCTGTTTCTTCTGGATTGACCATTACAAGTTGGAGCTTGAAACTTACAGTTTCTCAGAATGTTCCAGGTTTGTTTTCGTCCCCAAAGGACTGCAGATTAGGTGGAATTTTACCTTTCTCACAGTGAAATGGATGCGCATCACCTCATGGATCACACTGCGACATCTACTAGCCTCCTCGGATAGGCCAACACCCGCCAAAAGTTCAGGATATATACTCAACAACAGGCTTGACTTCACATTTGACGTTCATTTGGTTTGTCTATTTATCGTTCCTTGGTATAAATCCTTGGAAACTCGCATCATACAGCCAGCTCTTATGTAGTTGGTTTTCTCCTTGCAAAAATCCGGTCCACAAAAACCTCATGGTTTTGCGCTGTTTGACAAAACGAAGATCGAATTCTTGGTAAAATCTGCTAGTTTTTGGTGGTGGACATTGTCTTAGTGAAACACTTAGCATTACGTGATGTTCAGTTTTAAAACCTTAATCCATCATAAGTTTTTCTGGGTTTATACCTTTGTACACTAAAATTGAATTTAATCATCTCAACCTCCGCTAGTAATTTGGGCCGCGAAAACTTAGAGTTATGCGGTAAACGTAAGTCACAGAAACCTGTTCAGCATGGTAAATTTCGAAAATACAACTCACCTTTACCGTGCTTGTCGAAGTGAGGGGTGGAATGCCATGATCGATTGCTAAAGCATACAGCGTGTAATGATCAACCGCCTCTCGATCGAACGAGACAGTTGTAGTTATTGTTCCGGTTTTTTGATCAATCTTAAATGTAGTCGCATTCATCCCATCCTCAATCAGTTGATAGAACACATCTGCATTGGCACCAGTATCCGAATCAACCGCCGTAAAATAAGGATGGTGATAAAGTAGGTTTGAGTGAACGGAAGACTGGGCGCTTTCCATTCGCTGCAGTTGCGTCCCCGGTGACATGTTCTCCCAAACTTGCATGTGGAATGTGTTATGAACGAATCTGGGCGGATTGTCATTTTCGTCCAACACGTAAACAGAAAAGTTGCGTTCCGTCAAATGACCTGCCGTATCGATGCAGCTTATTGGGACTAGCTGTACAGGAGTTACCTCTCTATCAAGCTCAATGGCGGTTTGCAGATGATACGTTACAGCCCCCGTCATCATCAGTATAGAGTTCTGTTGGTTCGATGTTTGTAACAGTGAAAAGTTTGGGGTTTTCAGCCGACATTCGACATGATCGGTTCCCTCAAAATCAGGATCGTAAGCCTAAAATAGTACAAAGGCTCTGTATCAAATAAAGTGCAATACTGCATCTGCTTTAACTGAGTGAAGAACAGTGAATATAAACCTGTGTGGTCTGTCAAAATTTTTTGACTGATTGTCATACGCAAATACCCTCTTTCCTGGCTATTTTTCTTGGTCATTTCAAAAAAATAAAACAGAAGTAGGATCCGAAATTTTGATTGGTGAATTTATTTTTACAGACCGATCTTATCATTGTATTAGAATCACCTAGTCTCCTCACTGCTATATGTTTCGGGACCCCTCACTGTGACCAGGGCTTTCGAAATCAAAACATCTGATGACCAGCTAACGATAGGTTTTCCTTTTTCGCAAATCGGGAGTTAAGCGCATGTTTACTGAGAAGATTCTCAGAAGCGAACAATTGTTCAAAACCTTCCATGGCTATAGTTTGGTCTACAGACTGTTTTAGAAAAAACGTGCGCATTTTGGGATGATAGACAACAAGTCATTGTCTAGGTGGGAGAACGCATAGTTTAATTACGTGTCGTGCATGAATCAGTCAACAATGGCCCTGCAGTTTACCAACAGACTTGATTCGCGAAATACGGACCTAATAAATTGATCCCGCAGAGTGAACCTGAATGCGGTAAACGATAAAGAAATTTTGAATTTTTCAGACCTGACTACAGGTAAGTTGGATAAAGTACGTACTAACCAATTAACAATAGCGAGTAGCCTACAACACGGTTTCAATGACTAATCTGTGACTAATACGTGACGAGGCGTAACCAGCTTAGGCTAACTTAATAGGTGCTGGAATTCCTGATATTCGTTTAATACTGTAAAGTTACTTTCAAAGTCATCTTTTGCTAGAAGGCACAGAAAAGCTCTCTTTCATTCTTGGTGGGCGTGATCAGCCGGGCTCACTCCCGAAATGCCGGAGCAGATTGAAAACACATAGCACAGTTGAACAATTCAGCTGAGTTGAAATTGCTAAACAAACTGCTGGTCACTTTTGCGGCTCACACGCAATTTTACAGAACACTGTGCAATTCAATGAAGGCTGTCCTAACATGTCAGATTCACCAATGAAACCTCAAAATCCTCTTTTCATCTGCAAGTCTCATTAAATATTATTTAGCAGCTGGATAAAGAAGAGCACAGCCTTCGAGGACGTTTGCTTTTTGAAAATCCATCGTAACTTCGTATATTTGTATGGTAATAAATCATTCTACAGAGGAAATTCTTCCCAATTCCGAATGCTTCAGCCTTCTCAATAAGACACAGTGAGTAGACACGAATGCCACAAGCATTACAGCGTTATTGCTGTTTTTTAGCAATCTGAAAAATCATGAATTTTATGTTTCAGCCGGTGCTGATAAGTACCATCACCAAAGCAAGGCACCTTCAAAGTAAAAAAATGGGCTAAAAAACCAAGTGGTGGATTGACACCAAGTTTCTAGAGGTTATAAAAATGCTCAAATCAGGCACGTAAACGCCTGTACTCTAAATAATCATTGAAGCAAAACTCGCTAGTGAATGTGCGTTTACTCCGGCAACTGGTTCGCAGGATGCACAATGCAATCGGTGATGCCGAGAAGCCCATTTGGGTGTTCCCCTGCTCGCTTCCCTTATATCTCTTCCGAGAAGCCCTATCCATTTTCTCGGCCCATGATTATCTCAAATGACTTTGTGCAGAGTAAAATAGTACCGTTCCAACCCAGTAAAGTTTTCCGTACCGTACCGGTAGCCTCGCGATTTCGAACGAATGTCCAGCCCATTCATCTCCCCATCAAAAATTTGGTTTATTTGTCTACATCCGGAAAGCAAAAGGATAATCATTGCATTTTTCTGCTTAACCAACATTCTTGAAGAGATTTTTACAAATTTCGCCTCTATCACATGCCCATTCTAGTGGTTTGAACCCTTCGGGTAGAAGTGATGCTGTTTGGAACAGAAAACTCCAGCTTATCTCCATTCGCTTTCACTGATGTGTTTTGTACATTCTGTAGCCTCCCAGCTAAACCTGAGTAGAGCAGAAATCAACCAGTTATTTTTTAGTCTACCAGTGGATTTTACTTGCTTGTTTACCTGAACTCTCTATCTACAACTGCTATGGTTTCGACAGCATTGTGAATTACTACGGTACATGTTACATATCGTAAAGTTATAAATCTCCATGGCGATCCCTGATAGGACCAACTGGGTTCGGTCACTGGGTGCTACAGTTGTCTTCTGTGTTTTCAGACGAGTTGAAGTACATCCAGAGCATTTATCTATCAATCTTAAAGAAGTGATATTTTGCGTGTTGGCCTGGAGATGAAGCCACCTAGGCAGTCGCTACTAGAAATTTGGAAACTTATTCTATTTAAATTTCAAGGAGAATAAGTTGGGACAGACCAAAAAGTGATAGCTTTTTCTATGTGAGCCACGCGATCTTTTATTTCTCTCTGCTAACTCAAATCTTCTGTAAAGGATGGTTCAATTCAACGTGTATCTGGCCTATGTCAGATACTACCCATCACCCAAGCCCCTGATTTGCATTGTTGTTGCTTGCCTATATCCTGGAGTTCAAGCCTTTTATCAGCATTAGAATACTTTCAAAATTTTTCACCAAACTGTGTGTTGTCCATTTCATAACATTTGTCAAATCAGCAACCCGCTGAACGGAAAGTGTAGCAGTTGTACAAACATGAAACTGTGTTCGAATTACAGCGGTATTGTGTTCAAATACAGAAACAAAACACCAAAACTTGCATTGAATCATTCGGGTCTGGCACATCAATTCTGATTTAAAAACCTAAAAAGTATGATTGTTAAAGCTTGGTTACCAACATTCTGTGCACTCTGTTCATACTTTTCGAAGTTAAGGGCTGTTTCTGTTTCAGGATAGCACATTCTTAATTTTGTGATTACATTCTTTGCATTCTTTCATGTTATCTGTGTACTTTAGCATGGCTCCTTTAAATTATCTTCCCATTTCACTGGTCTAAATAGTATTGTGTTCATGGTGTTTTTTCCACAGTGCTTCAATTTGATAAGACCCACAAAGCGAGATTACAATGAACCTAAAAGTGGTTTTGCCATTATAAGGGTACAAATCAATTTGCAAAGGTCACAACAAATAGATGAGTGTGTTCTTAAGTATTTTGTGACTAATAGTGTGTTGAAAACTTGTTGGAGCTTATTCAAGTAAGATGACCACTAGAGAGGAAAATATTGGTAGCGTAGATAGTCGTTGGCTTGCCCGCTGAGCTGGACAGTTTGATTGCGAACGTTTCATCACCAATCAAGGTGACATCATCAGTGCGTTATTCGGGAGCGTAGTGGTGCGTAGCGGTGGATTAGTGGTTGTGCTTTGAGTAGTGTCATCTGTGTGTTAATATACGTGCTGCTAGCCGGGGATGACCTTTGATCTTGATTGGTTGTTTGGTCGGGCGGTTCCATTGGTTGCTCCGTTATCCTGTGTCCTCATTCACTAATGCCCACGTGACCTTTGAGCTTGGCATCCCATGCTGTCGTAATCTGGTCGATGCTGGAGTGACCTTTGTCCTTCCGATTCCCAGCTTGTGACTTTTATTGATTTGACTCCAAAGGGTTCCTTGTTTCTTTGTTTGTGAATCCAATATTCGGTCCTCTTTGAATGTTCCGGTTGGTATGTTAGGGCGTAAATTGGATCCAGTTCGATGCACCGGTTGATCGAATCTGCTGTGGAGTACATGCTTCCAGAAATTCTCTTCCGCGTCTCGTATCTCCGTATGCCGAAATTTATGCGTTTTCCAGATTGAATTTGTGGCCTGTATGGATATCAAGGACAGGGGTTCGTGTCTACAGACGGCCGAGTTGTGCTCCGCGCGTGGGCATCGGCGAATGAGGACACAGGATAACGGAGCAACCAATGGAACCGCCCGACCAAACAACCAATCAAGATCAAAGGTCATCCCCGGCTAGCAGCACGTATATTAACACACAGATGACACTACTCAAAGCACAACCACTAATCCACCGCTACGCACCACTACGCTCCCCAATAACGCACTGATGATGTCACCTCGATTGGTGCTGAAACCTTTGCCCAGCTCAGCGGACAAGACAACGATCAAGATAACCACTAACAGACCTTGTATAGATTAGGAACAAGGCCTTTTCTCATCAAAAGTTACCATGGCTCCATAGTGTCATATCGGCACGCGTGCTTGTGTGTCGAAAACAGTTCGCGATTGACCCTGAAATGCTTCAAAATAGGTAAACTAACTGCCTTTGGACGACTTTCGTGTTTCTTACAAATGCTACGAGTATGCGATTTTGAAATATCTTTAATGGAGGCTCCGTTCTACAGGGAGTCATTGTGTCGAAGATTGAGAACTTGTTTCATCCTTACTGGACGTCGTCAACACTGCATCCAAAGAACTTATCGGTCAGGAGTTACTGATCAGGCGTCCGATAGGATATGACTTAATCAACCCTGCAATCAGCGGATTCAAAGCACGTGATCACTTGTTAACTGGCTTCCGGTACTGAATTCGGTGAGAATGAAGTCGGAAGTAGCGTTGCGTGGAGCATCTAATTTCGGTGTAAATCGTCAGAGTCTTCGCAAAGCGTCCTTCTGCATATACATGAAGTTCAGTTTTAGTCCATTGAAGCTGATCAATCAAGACCAAGTCATATTTTTCCGCGTACAGAGCAATATGTAGATGTTGTATCATCTGCAGACTTCTTAACCAATTCGTCTAATATGCTCATGAATTTCAAAAGAGACAATATATTAAGACAGCTCGCGGCGTACCCTGACACTATCACTTCCCAGGGTGATCCACCTCACTCTATCTATGAGATTTTCTGTAGTGACTACAGGACTTATGTAGGCAACTGAGAGTGCGTACTTTCAAACACGAGAGGCTTGGTCGATTATTGCCTCAAAGCACGTCATAGTGTAAGAGCAACCATAAAGGTATTCAATCATTGCTTTGCACATTCTAGCAGACAGTCACACGGTCTTGATTGATCAGAGTGAGCGAATGCAAACGGTACTTTCGGTGTGTGCAGAACGACACTATTTGAGGACTCAGGCGATTAAAACCCCACCTGCGTTCTGCCCATGTCAGCTGTCTGTTCAGGACTAATCAATGATCAGACCATACAGGCGACTTGACTTTAGCCTCAAAACGCCGACGTGGGAGTGTATCCTTGACCAATCAACTTACATCCTTGTAACGCCCTTGCAACGGTAGCCGTCAACTTGGCTTCCTTTTCTTGTTACTTTGAAATCGTGATAATTCCACTCCTGAGGGAATACACCTGTGGTGACCGAGACGTCAAGCAAAAAACTTGGTGAATTAGCTTTGAATTTTTCCTCTACAATACAACTTCTCTGTTTTCGGCATCGAATGACTTCGCCTACAGTGAGGGGATTCATACTCTAGTTTTGTTGCTTTCACATCACCTACAGTTGCGTTGTGAACGCTAAAAGTCTAACTACTGGTGGTTCTTAGTCTATTTTGGATCGACTTAAGTGAATTTGACTGATTCAGAAAAATTACGTAAAATTCACTCAAGCCCAAGCACTTTTCTTAAGACCAAAGTGAAAATGGGGTGCGTATTAGAATTTGTAAAACAAGATGAAAAAATTACAATAGCAAGTCATTTTAACTAGAGAATTTCCGTCAACCAGCTAGTGGTTTTCCCTAGTGCACCTCCTGGTTTCTGAACATTTTGAGCAAAGCATCAACCTCCTTGACAGCGTTTGGTGAAAGTTCTTCATCAGGGTTTGGTAGATCTCAGAACCTCGTGAGGGATGATAACCGAATAGTTAAAGATCTTGCTCGTTAACCAGTTATCAAGACCGCATTGGCACAAGGGTTATGCGGCGTATTCTCAATTGAAAGCTAGAGGTGAATTCATCGTAAACTTCAAAAAGTCAAGACAAGGTTATCCCGAAAAGGTTCCACATGCTTTCCTATTTAGGTATGCATTAATAAAGTCGTCATTTCGAGCTTCTAGGCTATTACTATGTTTCCTCATGAGCCCCAATAGAAGCAGAGTACTGACATCATGCGGCTTCATGAGCTACAGATCTTATAGAAAGTGTAGATCTATGATTTTTTTAACGAATTCTGGCGTTCCTACAACAGTAGGCCTCGGCAAGACATTAGACGGTTGACATACAAGCGACCTTAATTCGGATGTGCAACTCGGTCACCGGGTCTTAATGTGTGAACTTGACATCCAAACTAACCACTCTGTGTTGAGAAAAAGTGTACGGTTGGGATAATGCACTTGCATCCTGCGGAAAATACACAAAATTACGGGTTTTTAGGTCGACAGAGAACTGCACAGTAGGCTGATACGAGTATCTTTTAGTGCGAGGTGAGTAAAAGAATCTGAGAAGCATTTGACAAAGATGATGACAGATCGATAGTGTTTGGCGTGAAAAGACAGGCATCGGCTGTCTAACTCCACCAGCGAAGTTGCAGCGAAACAAGTTGAAGATTTCCCCTTTGTGCGAGTCAGTAAACTGTCGGTCCATTAATCCTGTCACACGCTAAAATGTGTTCGCTTCAACCCGTTTGTATACTCCACCGTCACAATCCAAATGGCTGCAACTTCAGTGTGCGAGTGCAGTTTCCCAACCGCACCCCTTTAGCGACACTGAGGGTTTTTTATTCTAATGACGCCTACAAATTATGACAAGTTTAACACTCAAACTGGGGTTGTCAAACTGATATCTTGACGAAGCGTATTGTGGGGTGCCAAAGATCGATGTGAAAATGCCAGGTTGTGCAGGAAAAAGTGTAGATTCCTCTGTGGACAATTTGTGTTTCCTTTTCCGACAGCCTAAACCGGAATCAACATTTTGATAGTCATATTAGAAACAAATGTTTCTTAGAAAATTCTTACTCAGGACTGAAAAATTCTGCTACATGTTCTTATCCAAACCGACTGCAGTATTTCGTTACATGGAACTATTTTATTCCATTGTTCTTCAAATTAGGCAGACACCCCATCTCAAACACAGTACATTTGCTTACTGTGGGTTTTGGGTTTGCCCCTAGTGACAGACAGGTCACATCAACCTTGGAAATGTGGACACTCCTAAAAGATGATTGTTGTTGATCATATGGTCCTGAGGAACTGTCTTGAGTGACGAATGAGTGACAGTCACATGTGCTTCTCTAGCACTCCTGGTGTGCGAGCAAAATACCTCGTTTATAGTAGTGCTCATGAGGTCTTCCTGAAATAATCTGATGTCGAGAAAAGTCCAGCGAATTCCTGTTCCACTCGTGCATCTAAATTGTTCAGACAAATAAATGCCATCGATTCCAGGGTCGGAAAACAAGGGTATGTAGGGAAGACTTTGCTTGGACGTTTGCGCCCCAGATGCATCTGCTTAGGTTCACACTCTAATCCAGGAGGATGATTATGGCGACATTGATTGCGGTGATGATCAAAACGACACGATAACACTAATTTTCAAGATTATGCTATTGAATTCTTTGAATGAAAAAAACAAGGAGGAAATATGCTCACACAACTCTGTGAATAAACCATACTTTCCATAAGACTGATGAGTACTTAGATGGTTCGAACACTTAAATATCATGGGTATTTTATTCGTTGGCTTTTTAATCGCATGTATGCAATGGGATCTGATTAGACGTAAAGGGTCTCTAGGTAACTGTAACCAGTTCCTCCAAAAATATTGCCAAGAAAATTAATATGCCCACAGGTTCTGGGCGTTCTGCTTGGCTGGTTGTAACCAGCCATGCTATTTTGCTAATTAAACTTGCTGCTCACTCATTGACAAGCTGTGTGTGGAACCTAATTCAGTCTTCGTATCGGAATAAACATGAAATAGTTACATTCCACTATAATGCTTCGTCGCCGAATACTTTCAATATTTAAAGGAATTGGGGATAACTGGTATATGCTTATCAATGCTTATCACTAATGGACGTTCTAAGTAAATCCCTAATTTTGAATTCTTAAGAATCCAGTCCTTACCTGAAGAGTGGCCACTGCGGTCCCAATTGGTTTGTTCTCAGTGACAGATAAAAAGTTGAAGTTCCCGGTTGGACCAGACACACCATGAGCCTTCTGTTCTATGTCTTCTGTCACCTCACGAATTTCAATAATTGGTGCTTCGTCGTTTTCATCACTGACTGTAATGACGACAGCAGCCTCGCTTGAACGACTGTACGGCCGTACAGCTTCATCCTCAACGACTACATGAAAACGAAATTTTATCGCTGTACTGGAAGCCAGATTAGAAGATAAAAATATAGCGCCCGGTGAGGAAAGTCCCTGGACTCCGTTTCTTTGCTCCTGCCTAAAAATCTCCTGATTGCCTTTGTCTCGATCAACATCCAAGGGCCTTCGAACAACAATATGGCCGTTAGACCGTATATCGAAATACTGTTTGGCGTAGATTTCGGTCGGTAGCCACGCATGCTCCCTACTGAAACCAAAATGGAATGCACCGTTTATTCCCGCGTCAGCGTCTGTCGCGTTCAGAACCAGAACGGTAGTACCTACTGGGGTTGTTTCTGGAATTGGCGTGTTTGGAGTAAATATTGGCTGGACAAACAGAGGGGTGTTATCGTTGACATCCTCGATGTGCACGTCAATGACAAGAGTGGAAGTGAATCTAGATTCTTCCGGGGGAATATGACCATCATCGGGGTTGCCACGATCTATGGCTTTCAAAATGTACTGATAGGCCTCGCGCTCCTCTCGATCGACTTGTTTCGTTGCGCAAAGATAAATTCCCTCCATAGCATGGTCAACGAGGCTAAAGGTTCCGGGATTCTTGTCAGAACGTGTTGTAGGAACAAGCTCGTAGATGAGGCGGCCATTTAATCCCGAATCTAAATCGACTGCAGGAGGTAAAGTACGACGTTCACCAACAGGATCACCGTCACGAAAGACAACCTGGAAACGTTTTAAATGACCTGGCCAGTAAGGCGCATTGTCATTGATATCATCTATCAGCAGTCGTACGGTTAAATGCGCCTGGGGATTATCCGTCTTTGATGACTTCACCCCGGTTCCCTTTGTCTGAATAGCCCTGCTGAAGACTGACAATTTCAGAGTTATGGTGCAGTGTGAGGATGAAGTCATTGACGAATGTGACCCTTGCGAAGTAAGCTTAGAGACATACTTTACGCTATAGATGCTGTCCAAAGGGGAACCAACTGATTGTGAACCAAGGCATAGTTGTTCACGATCAATTCGTCTCGCCACAAGCACTCTGCCATCTTTTGTGACCTGTTGAAAAAAAAACAAAGAGGCGAACAAAAAATCAACGATACACGTTATAGTTCTAGAGTGAGGATCACAGAATCCTTCAATAAGGATTACTCAATCTGGTTATTTTTTCTGGTTCAGTTTGGCAATGATACTGTTTGGCTTTTTTGGAATTACTACACGTATTCAAGGTCTCTGGTTGACAAAAGCGTTCAACTTAGTCAATAACTCCTAGAAAACCATAAAAAAATCTACTTGATCAACATATAATTCATATCATATCACAAAACATACAACATGAAAATAGTTGAAACCAAATCGAATCAAAGTGATGAGAACATGAAAAATACAATTCTATCGCTTTTGAGTTTTTAGCATAAACGTATCAATTTATATGGATACGAACTCAAGTGGTGAGAAAATCACTTTAAACTGAAAGCATTCGACATGCTCTGCTGACTATCGTTCTCAACCTGCCCACTTGTCAAGGACAAATTACGTGGTATGCACTTTTATGTTCAGACGGCTCCATTAAAGAATAAAGACAAACTGAACTCTCTAGCAAGCGTCATTTTTCCAAAACTTGCACAGTAATTCACCTTCGGGCATAGCATGCTACCGACTGACGAAAAGTATCCTTGGGTGCAGACGATTTTTGAATGAGCTTCAATCTTCACGACTAGGAGTAAGTCGCACCCCTTTGCCAATGTCCGGAGACTCGGTTGCTTCACTCTGGTCATTTGTGAAGTTCATTGACCTGTTTCATTTTTTGATTAAAATGTTCAAGAAGAATTAATTTCGGACCTGTTGAAAAGCACCAGTTCTGTTGCATTGTCATGACTCGGATGTCGCCGAAACACTTCAGGTTCACCGACCTTTGTTCGTCAGATTAAACGTCTCTCTTCTGGTTGACAGCACTAATTCGCACGATGAATTGGTGAATTTATGTGAAATTATCAAAGCTGTTCGTGTTACTCATTGGGCACTTTCTCCCTCATCGAACTCTCCATAGAAATCTTAGTTGTTGTTAACTTTGCGCTGCGTACTTTGCATAAAAGCATAATGATAGGCAACATAATCAAGCAGGACAAGCCTCATTCTAAAATTCTTCACGTCGCGGACCAGATATTGCTCAGCATCAGTTTCTCTGATAAGGCAGAACGTGTAGAGACACACGTGTCACAGGAACGGGTAACTATTCAACCTGAACTGGCATCTGAGTGACTGTAAATCTGGATCCAATAATTCCTATGGGTTCTAATGAGTTGGCCCTGACAAAAGCAGAGGTGCGTGACCAGAGAGTGGGTTAAGCTGTGAGTGTGAAACGATAATGGAACTTGGCACCTGTTACCCGACAGAAGAGACGCAAATATTCTTTTCAGTAAATGTGCATTGCCCAATGAGAGTCCTGAATTTGGTGCCTCTTCATCTGGCCATCTGCGGAGTAGGGTTGCTACGATGTATGCAGAATATCTCGATCGAGCAGCAAAGACAGTCCGCAGTGTGTACAATATGTTGCCTTTTAGTCGAGCTTCTCCACGTACGAACGTATTATGGATGAATAAAGTGGGGCCTGAAAGATTCCTAATCTTACTTTTATTTTCACTCAGATGCGTAAGTGCAGACGTAATAATTCAGGTATGTTCAATATATGTTGCTCTGCAGGTGGTCTGGAACTGGATAGATTAACACAAACGCCAACGCCGAAATTCGAGTACATTGCTTTGCTCCTTTGGTTCGGACTGATGGGGTAGATATATCTATATTCTATATATATATATATATATTCTATATACATGTTCTGTATTCTATAGATACATCCATATTCTGCAAACACACGCCTAATCATCAAAAACGCAATGCCTTGGCCACTGACGAGTACGTGTAAGTGCTTTACTGATTTGGGTGAAGTTTTAGGAATTTACCCATTAATTGGCTTTATTTACCTATTTGTTTACTGTTGTTTCATCAAGCCTATAAACAATGATTTTTCAGACAAACCAAAGCGTTTTTCTCATAGGCTTCCAATCAGAGTTAACAGGTGACTTTTTTGTTGTATATTCCAGCTACTAATTTTTTATAAAACAAGAAACGGAAATAATGGATAAAATTTATAATATAGTGTCCTACGTGCAAGATCTAGCCTAAACTATATTTCCATTGAGCCTAAAAACGAAGGAACTTAGCTTACACACTCAGCGACCATGTCAAACTCAGCTGCCGGGCTTCACGCCTGTTCTGTTTTTATCTTTGGTTTTCACCGTCATTCCGGGGCTGTCGATATGGTCCCACATCTCAGCAATCAAGAGCTTCTCTATGTTGTGCTCGCTTTATACCAGTGCGCAAATTATCAAGGATTTTGTTTATCATCCTAAATACTGAATAAAACTATACGGTTTTTTTTACATCCTATTGATGTAATGTATTGCTATCGTGTGGTCTGGCACGCAAAAGTGGAATTAAATCGCAATCGCATTCTTACTTGACGCAGTCTGCCGAATAAGTGTCGAATCCACATTCGTACACTCAGGGATATTGAGGCTCTAGAAAGCTTCCTATGAAAAGCTAGTGTAAAGAAGATGATAAGATTGCCGCACTTGAGTCGGCACGAACACGAATTTCATCACCATCTTTATATTGGTGGTGAATGCTTTACACACTGAATCGGCTTCTTCCGTTGGTTGGTACTTGGCAAACCAAATAATTTCGCTCTGATAAGATTTCATCGCGGTGAGCAATATGAACAAGCTGGATTTTCCGTTGTCACTGGTGTCATTCAGTTAAGAACCTGAGAGGAGCACGCGGTCGATGACACGCCACCATTTGAAAATAATTTTAGTCGCTTTCATTTCTCATTAAGCCCTCTCCGAATGTCTCTTATCTCCATACTAGCATCCATAATTTCCGTCAAGTTGGCTGTTTATATGAAATCGAAATTCAGAGTGGTCATATAACAGTGCTTCAAGAACTTTCAAATTTCTCCTCTTTTACACATCCCTCCAATTTAAAAAGCAAAACATCTAGGACTTGGTGCTTTTTTGCAGTTACCCGGGAACCCTTGGCACGAGGCGATTAAAATTGGAGAAGAAAAACCATAAAATATGGAAGTACTCTAATTTCACCGTAAGGTCAAGGACGAAAGTTGTCTTACATTCCTGGAGTTCGGTGAATTACTCTTCATAAGTAAATGTGGACATTAGTCAACCAGATGAAAAAGAGTAAATTATAATGGACATACGTTTATGCAGCTGAAACCCTCTGTCTATTTCAGTGGCTGTTGACCGGGTGGTCATTGAGCCGTTTGCGGAACTTTGCAGTAAGCCTGCTCAGCTGCTGTGTGGATGCTTCTCCGTAGGCCCGCGGAAACAAACATGTGGACAGACATGTGGAAAGACAGCTATCCAAACGAATGTCCGAACACGTTCCGTACAAAAGCCTGCTAATAACATTATAATTTTAACCTACTAGCCCGAGACGGCACAGCATATCAACGTTGCAACGGACGGGGAAATGTATTCATAAGAATCCATCAACGTTGCAGGAAACTCAATTTTATTCTCAGAAATGGCACTCACTTGGCCAGACTGTCGTTGCTGTCAGCCAAAGCATAGTCAAGCACTGTCTCAATTTCGACAACAATTGTAAGCCTCTAACGTCGCTTTTTAGCCTGGCGAAACTTTTTTCTCCTTTTTGATATTTTCTACATATGTTCCACATCTGTCTCCGCCAGATTCTGTATTCACCTCAGTAAATGTTTAAGTAAATTCTTCCACTGTAGAAAAGCATGCTTCCTGGGTGACAAGCAATGACCCGGCACTAGTCAGATCAGGCCCGATTTGACAAGGAACAATATTATTTTAGTGACGCAATCGTCGTTTCGACAATAACATGTGTTTTCCGTGGGCTGTGTAGAAAGAGGCTTTGTGAAAAAGTTTACACGAAAAACGATCCATAAATCAACTTTAATCTCACCGTTTCCAAAAGCAATGACTAATTTGAAAGGGACAGTACAAAGACAACCTCCATTCGTCGGCATCTTAAGGAAGCAACCAGAGACCGTCCGCGTAGTGTTTTTATTTGGTGGCCATAAGTATCAAAATAGGGGCGCAGGTTAAAACTGGAAATGCAAATGTCTGAATTTATTGTGGAAAAAACGCAAACTTTTTCTCAAGGATCTCGGAAAGCATCAGTCTGGTGACATCACGACTCCCGTTGGGCTCACCGACTTGTTCAAACAGACCGTGTGACGTTTTGCGACCATGGTGATTTCAACCGAAAGTAAGAGAACGTCACACGTTACGAACAAAATATTGTGCCCAAATTCACGGGCGAACGAAAATATGACATTCAAAGCTACCCTGTTTCGGAATAAGTTACTAACCAAATGAATTAACTGAGACCAACAACGCATCCACTAATGCGCTGGGTTCATAACAGCTTTTAGGTCACGCGTAATGCACTACTCATTAGGCTGATGAAAGTTCTTCGACAACCCACGACCGGTTTCGCCCTTCTCGTGGCTCATCAGGTAGGCTCAGTCCTTGAGTTTCGGTCAACCTTATATTCTACTTGAAACAAAATTGCATGAACTTAGCCTAATACACTCATTTGCAAACAAATTTGGTTTTGCGAGAGAATCACCCGGAACCTAGCTGAATCTCTCGTTTGTGATGTTTCCAGGCAACTGAATGTTCTGCACCAGGCCGCTTTATTTTTCATTTGCTACGATATCCGAAATAGCGCGACATATGTATATTCGTAATGCACTACTACTGCTCCCAGAGGGTGGTACAGCTGAACGGTTAGCATTTATTATTACTATTTATCAAAAGCTTCGAGTACTGGAACTTGAATTAGTTAAAAATACATCAGTTCATTTCTTGAACCATCAATAACACTTAGGAACATCCAGTTATGTAACATGCAGTCGCCTTGCCTAGCACCGGTGGATTTTAGATTCCTGCCTTGTTTCTTGAATTCCCCGGGACCGTTGCCTTTCATTTTCCCCTTGCTGTCAGGTCTCCAGACGCTTGTCCCGACTTTAGCGGATATACATTCATTTGCAAACCAATTTGTGTTTTCGAGAGGCCCACCTGGAACCCAGCTGAATCTCTCGGTTTTGATGTTTCTGGGCAACTGAATGCTCTGCACCAGGCCGCCTCGTGTTTCATACTCTATGATATTCGAGATATGGTGATACATAAATATTTTCAGCAATCTTATGAGTAGTGCATTACAAAATATACTTGTGTCGACTGTTTACGCCGCGTAAATGTTTAGCTGAAGCTTCGGTCCTACAAGATGCAACCGGTTTTATCCACCTTATGCATTTTCCAAGGTATACCTTATAAGGTACGATAAAACCCCACAGTTTTGTTTGGATGTTAAAGCAGTCACTTGTCTCCTATCCCCCTGCATAGAGGAAACCTTACGGCAGTTCAAAGTCAGCTCCGTGAGGGCAACTTCAGTATTTCCACTCCCACAACTCAAGAATTCGGGACCAAAAAATAAAGGGATAGTAAACCAACAAGTGAAATTAAACCCTATGTTTGTTTCGGATGTTCACAATTGTTTCTCTCTTCTACGTCTGTCTATTCCTAAAGGATAAAGCGCTCAAAATGTCGCGCAAGAGATCTAAACTTATGTGAAACCGGAGTTATTACGACATGAAAAATCTTGGAGCTGATCTATGGTTATACTATAGAACTAGGGTGATAGGGTTGATGGCGATAAATACAGCCTTCATTAGACTTGATGATCCTAACGCAACACGTCTTTTATTGTGCTGAATTCGCCCGACGTTTCCTTGAGGCTGCATTGAACAGTAAGTATCCAGCAGCATGTGTGTTTACTAGGACCACACTTTATCCTTTACCTAAAATAGAATGACTTGGCGTGGCTGATAATCAGTGTAAATAACAATTAGGTGGTCTCAACGGAGACATGCTTTTAATCTGTTCCAGATGTCGAAAAAACGGTCACTCGTTAATCAGGTTAAGCTGTCTGTCTGCAGTAGCTAGATCGACTAACTATTCAACCCAGCCGACTGGCTTTTTCAACTTTATACTTAACTGTTCCCCACACAGCAGAAAAAAGAAGGCATGTCCAAACTAGAGAGGCACTCTCAGGGTTTGAACATTTACGTATGGGAACGCTGACCCTATTACGCCAAGTCATGGAGTGATATACCGTTCAATTTGTATAACAAACTCATTGGTGAATCATTGCCCATTTCGGTAACTAATTCTATGGCTTCTACCGTTGCCCCTGTAAATGCGCGTTAGTTATCTTTTGACCATAACTATGACAAATGAATAAGCCACTGTGCGGATAGATGTTCCACACCGTTGTTTTGATGGTAGACGGGTGAGTGTATACAGCATAGCGGCTTTCGTTATCCACATTCTAGGTTCCCATGTGTGCTGATGTTTGTTTGTTTGTTTGTTCGTTTGAAAAGAACAAATGTTTGTGTTGTTTTCATGAGAAGGCGCAGCGACTTGACAGAATTGTAACGGACGGGAGCAGCCTAAGTGCCTTGAAGCTACAAACGATGATGCGATCTTTCGCCGCACGGGAAAAGGTTTTGCTGGGACCAGAAATGCCAACTAATTACTGCAGTGACAAAAATAACCTTGGATTATTCATTTTCATAGAACTATTTTCACGGAATCTTGGGACTGCTGCCCTCTTGGAGGTTCAGCTTTCATAGTCTCCCACGGTGCCTTACCCAAGCAATTATTAGCTATCGAACAACCATCATTCTTTTGGATACTGGGGGAAAGTTGGGTCTCATTTTGATAACTGACAAATTTCCAAACGAATAATCGGTAGGTGGTCAACAAAATACAGTTTACATTCAGTATATTTTCATCGTACATAACCTTGTTTTATTTTCTCGAGAGTTTCACATAAAAACCCTCGCCCTATTTATTATCGACGACATATGTACGATTTTTGTCGTAGAACCCACATGGTGTATGCAGCTCATTCCCAGTGTAGGACTAGTTGAGTGAGTTCACCCACTTGATAACTCAAGAAACCGACCTACTTCTACTCTAGAGTCTGTAATGACTTCAGACAACAGTGCTGTACTTTGGCACCACTTTGTAATTCGGCGCGAGATGCAACCACGTAAAGGATGGCGACATTTACTCTACAATTGATGATGTGGGAATCGAAAATAAGTGCACCTCTTGGTCTTCACCTAGGTTTATTTAGGGTATCAAAACTGGACCAAAAACTTGTCATGAACAGTGTTCCACAGGACCAAGCATGCTTTCAGAACAGAGGCTCCTTACTCTCATTTATACTTACATATATATGTTTATATGTGAATATATATATATACATATATAAATATGTATATATATATATGTAGTTTGGTTTTCAGTGTGGGTCACAATAAGCCATTTATTTTGAGTGAAACCTCAACCCACCGGTGGTAGTACTCTATCGCGGTAAGGCGTGCTTTGAATTGAAGAAGATATGCTCCTTATAGAAGGGAACAANGTTGTTGATCAGGGTGCTGTTGATCTGTTCGCCGAGCTTGGCAATTGGCTTCCAGACGTTTCGTCACCATACGAGGAGGCAACATCATCAACTGCGCACTGACGATGTCTCCTCGAATGGTGACGAAACGTTTGCAAGCCAATTGCCAAGCTCGGCGAACAGATCAACAGCCACCTGATCAACAACTAAGGAACAAAGCAGTGTCGTTCTTGTCAGGCCACATTTACTTTATTCTGGCCATTTATGGGAATATGAAGGAAACACTGGTTTGTTTTTGATCTCGTTATAAAAGAAGGAGAAAGAGCGTTGTCTAACGCTCAAGTTGGCACGGCAATTTTACGGTCAAGTTCTCGATGTAAATACATAAGTGTGTAAGTTCGGAGTTTTGTCGACTGTGCACTTCACATGACTTGTGATATTCACCTCGCTCAATTTATCCGACTAAATACGGCCTGGTAACTTGATACGCCAACAAGATTTCATTTTCTGATAGCTTCTTTTGCTTGGATACATTGAACGAGCTAGATATTCTGGAAGCGACACCAAAAAACGTGACTATCCCGCATCGTTTACTGAACAGCCTATGGTGGAACGGTAAGGTCATGAGAAAACGCTGTTTGAAGTAACTACCCAACGGTTTTCCGTCCGCATGAATCGCAACACAAAGATGAGCTAGATCAGCTACACGGATTCAGCCTTCAGATTAGCCTCCACCAGCAGGCTTGTGCAACCGGTCTGTCCACTTCAAACAAATCGGGGTGAAACACGATCATTCGAAAAGCATGTACGATTACGCCATTTGCTGCTGCTATAGTCTACAATCAACTTCAGTATTGTCGCAATATCAGGTCCATGAAATAGAGAATCTCATCCTATAATGTTGGTTCAAAGTTGTTTTGTCGCATCAGCAGTATATTACTTAATTTACAGCCGGGCACTTGACTGGTGAAGTATCTAAGATCCAAAGGTTTCTGTCTTGTTGAATATAACAGAAAAGAGTTTTATAAACGACTGTTCCACCTGGTGAGCGCAACGTCCCTCTTTAATGAGAGTAAGGACATATTCAAGTTTTATTGATATTGGCTTTGTATATTGATTCCAAAATATTTTTCCACGTCTTTCTTTTCTTCACCAGAAGTACATCCGTTGAAACCTTCGCCGGACTTTCCATCCAGTAACTATGAGTCCCGTGTTGACTGACGCCGAAGGATCAAGTGTCCTCCACTGACAAAAATACAGAGGTGATGAGGGAATTGGTAACATCCAATGAAATGCTCATCTTCTTCGGTCTGACCGTTTACATCTGAAGTCGTTCCCCCAAACGTCATGGCTAGAAGTCGAACGACAAAATGAACGAGAGGTCGCACTGACTTCAGATAGCACGCATGGAAAGTCCTCATTTTCCACTAGTGGCTCAAGCGTGCGCACAAGTACTATCCCGTAATGTCGAACAGTAGGTTCAGGAGGACGTATCAACTATATTAACATCAGTGTCAGTGGAAAACGATGTTTCTGTTTTCGTAACTTACTGAATTGTTTTTTTTCACGACCACCAGCAATGTGGATGCAGCGAGGCATATGAATTCACTAAATCTGTATCCTACATACAAGTTTAGTCGCATTAATTTATTCAAGTATGAGGGACAGTATAACTTTGACCGAGAAGTATAGCTGCAGTTTCCTCATAAAAAAAGCAAATGTCTTCTTCCGATGTTGCAATAATTTGCTTCATTATTAGCATACTCTTGGCCGTTGAGATAAGAAGCATTCCAAGTTTAACGACGGCCCCGTCCTCATGAATAATATAAATATTGGTACACCACAGGCACTGGTGACCTGGAGGAAGGTGGAGGACATCGGGTAGGCAAGTGACTGATATAATACCTTATGAAGAAACATTCAGATGCTTGCCATTTCAGTGTCTAATATTTGAATCAAATGTGGAGTGATGGTCCCCTGTGAAGTGTAAGCCACACCCTGTGACCCGGGAAATACGATGCACTGGACAACGACCCTGAAGTTTTTTCTCGTCCAACTATCGACGGGTTGAATAAAGTCAGAAGACATGCAAACAAACGGACAAACGGGTAGGGATTGATCTAGATTTTGATCACCGATTGGACTAGCTGGTAGGAAAATCGAAGTATCTACGGTTTTCCTAAAGTTTCCAATCTCAAACATTCCAGATAACAGTTTAAAAGGTTTTTTATCATACATACAATAAAGTGTGCAAGATGGCAAGTTGCTTTTTTGGCAGAGCACTCTACTCTTTGCTTCTTGGTGGAGAAAGAAAATACCCCGTCCAAGAAAAAGAATTATCCCCAGCATACAGCAGCTTTGACTACTTAGGTGCATTTAACGTGAGTCAGTAATAACACATTGAAAATAACCACTATTGTTTTATCTGAAAAATTAAAGACCGACTGTACTGAAAAATCTTATCACCTTTGTGGAAAAGATAATCACACCTTCAGCCACTAACCTCTACGGCATTCACACCCATTTGTCCGGAATTCAAGACACTAAATTCAAACAGTTCTCTCCAATCATCCTTTTTGGACTGGATATCGGTCTGGCTTTTTCCGAACAGCAAACTTTGAGACTTGTACAACAATAAATCTTCCATCAGGTTTCCAATTTGGGAACCGATCGGCAGTTCCTCTTGTATTCGGTACTCATGTTCCAAATGCTGAAGATTTTGATGCTGCCCAGATGATCTCCGTGTGTAGACTGACAGTAGACACCATAAGGTGGTAATCCAACTCATACTTAATCCTGATGAAAAAGAGAGAATGAGAAGGTACTGCGTAATCGCTTGGTCAAAAGAAAAAAGGTCAATCTTGGGCCAGTTAAACAGATTGCTAGTTATTCTTGATAATACATTTTGCCTTATCAGACGAGACACTGCCCAAACTTAAATGTTCACAGTTTGGATAATGGAAATATTCACAGCCATCTGGAAGAGAGTTGAATATCCTCTGTTGGCTGTAGGTTGTTGATCAGCCTTCTCGCGAAAGAGTATTCAAGAAGAAAACGGTGCCGTCCGCCCTGGTGTGCTTTGGCGTTGTCTGTCTTTTTCAGTGATATCTTAGACAAAAGGTCCCTTTGACCATGAGGATGTCCATTTTTATGGGTGTACAACATTCTGGCTATCTGATCAAGTTTAAATGAGGTTCTTGAGTAATCTGTGAACGTGTATTGGTTACGAGCTTCCCCATGTATTTTCCTGTAATCTAAAGGAGCGCGAAATTCTAGTAACCATTGAACGTACATTGGCAACAAGGTACTATTGTCGAAATCTATTTGTTTATACAGGAAAGCAATAGAGCCTAGAGCATTGTTTAATTAGAAAGAATAAATCAGCAGATGTTTGAGGCGCGATTTGACGGAGTACAAACTGGATTAATCCAAACGGATGCATAATTCATTCTGTCAATAAAATTACAAATTTCACAATATCCTTTCTCTCAGAATTGACCTGTTAAGCAAATTGGTGTCAAAAATGTTAGAGTGGGACTTCTTGTTCCGATTCGGTTTCCGTGGCTAGCTGTATGGAAACTAATCATGAAGAAAGACTCAAATGACCACCTGATTAAAGGTCTCGATCACAACCTGCAGAGTAATGTGGTTACGCAATCAAATGCCTGTTGTGTTACACACATTATTCGCGAATTTAACCTTTCAAAAGATTAATTCTGTGGTGACTATCTCCAAAATATTCACCTATTAGGGTAAATAGTGTCGGTTGGGTTTGTGTCAAGATGTAAATTGAAGAAAGACCATAGGTATTTTCGCACATGAAATCAAAATAATCAAGCGCTCATTCTGATGCTTTTGTGCGGATTATAAAATAAGTCAGAAGAGGAAATTTATTGCCCTCCAGCAACTTCGGATGACCTTCCTTACGAGGTAAACAAACAATGTCATTCGATCAATGGGCACTGGTTGAATGGATATTCTATTCGGCAAGTCGATATCCCTAACTGTTAACCGAGAGACAGAAACGGTCAGGGAGTGTGCGGAGTGAGATGAAGTTGTGGTCTTCTCTATGACTTTCATCTGTCGGGTGTTGTCGGTGCGTTCTGGCCAGACAATAATTTATGCAGATTTATCAGGTGTGTTGATAGAGTCAGCAAAAACCACTTCCGCATTTGACGATAAGCTCATCTTTATTGTTCTAGCTCGGTCAGAAACAAACCTTTGAATTCTAACTGGGTGCAGATTCCAAAACATGTGAAGATAATGGGCCATTACTTGTATGTTGCTTTCAGCAAAGCAAACTCTTACTGTTTTGCATTTCTTGTGAATAGATCTTTCATATTAGTCTTTGGAAAGTCACGATTCATTTGATTATCTCGACGTACAGAATACTTAGGCTGCTTAGAGTGTCACTAACCGACCGATAAGGCCAGAACGCTTATTGGATGGCCGTTTGAGGCTTCAGAGGAACCAATATCGTCACCAGGTCTGAAATATTGGCCACTTTAGATAATGTAGATTACTTTTATTCTGCGTGCACTGTTGGGGTAGTGGTATTAAACTTGCCTCACATGTCAGATACCTGGTGTTTAAATTCCAGCACAGTCAGTGATCACTGCAGGTGAGCTCCAATATGAGCAAAAGTTGAGTCAAATCCTTGCCGGATTTGGTGTGACGCATTACAATAATTATATTGGGATAAGGGTAGGACTGCTAAAGCCAGAGTAATGTGAAGACATCCAGTTATTAATTAGTTACTCAGTTCACATAAGACCACATGACTTTGTTCATGATATGAAACCCGTTACGTTTCCAATTAATGTCTTCTGGCATTTTTAACAAAGCTTCTACTCAATTATGACTGCAATGCGATAAAAATGCTTAAACTTGAAACAAGGCGGCTCTATGATGTCAAGTTGTTCCATTGGATGTCTAAACTGCTCCCCGAAAGCAGAGTCCGCCGCTGATTCCGAAGAGTTGCACACTTTCCAGACCACCTTAGAATTACATTGGTTCTTTTTCAGTTTTTGATGAAAACCTTTTGTATTCTTATTGTGCCATTTTAATTTTTTTGGCGAGACGCCTTGAACTAAAGGTTCAAGCTGAGGGTTTTCGTCTTGGTTTTGGCTTGTATCGACGATCTCGACGACAAACGAGATAATATAGTCGTTCACTTTCCTCATCTTTATGAATGTGGTGAGATCACAAGAAAGCAAGATTTTATTTGTTTTAAAAACAGTTTTGTGTGTACAACGTTTGTCATATTTTCCATTCATTAACAAACACAAACCGAACTGAAAACTTGAACAAGAACGACATTTAAACCACTCCTTTCTGCTATGTGAAAGCGGTAAAGAACATTGGCAAGGCTTGATTTTCAGGCCAGAACAATTTAGATAAGTCATCAGTTCAGTCCACAGACGTCCCATAAATACCCCAAGTAGGCCGCTGCTGTTTTCTAAGGATGACTGTCCCCAATGGTCCATATTCATATACGTCAGTCATCCGATGTCTGCTTCCTTCTTTCCGTCTTACTGGCTCACAACCTTCAGGCAGAAAGTTTTCCAGTTGTGCTGCTTCATTCAAAAGAGTTTGGAAAAGCGAAAAGTTCGACTATCCTTGCATCCATTTCCGTCACCAAACAATACCCTGAGGTTGTGTATTTTGCGCATTTCCGCAAAAACGAACAAGATGATGTTATCTTGACACACCCATTCCCAGTCGTCTATTATTAACAGTAATGCTGCTACTTCTACTCTTGTGTATGCCCACAACTTCTAGCTAATAATCCTATGCTCTTTGTTTGATGTTAATAACTGAAATACAAGGGAGCTGTGGCCACTGTATTGTTGTGGTTAGCTGCCGGTAACGGTACATAAAACTCAGGACGAGGACCGTTGCAACTCAAGCAAGCGAGCAAGATTCCCCTATGTTACTCTTTGCGTTCACGTGCGCGTTTGCGCCTTCTAGTTGAAAGTTCCACATACACAAGCTCACCACATACACACGCATACAAACTTTAGTGCACATGTGGGCTGTTCACGCTTTGTGATAGTGTGTTTGCGCGCGCACCGAGCGTCACATTAATGGAAACGCAAGGACCATACCATCGAAACACAAACGTACAAACATAAACTATTTGAAGAATTGTCCCACACCGACGTTTGAGCACGATTGAGGGCGAAAGTGAGTGAAGCAAATCGCAATCGGGTCACGCAAGCTCGACAGCAATCCCTAAGAATTATTCCTTTAGTTTTCGACTACAAGGGTACTTGCTTTGATGGCAATTATGTGAAGACGGGCGGATACAGTAGGCTGTAGGACACAAGGATGCAAGAATGATTTTGTGGATGGGTGACTGAGAGTTTGGTTGCTGGCGGGTCATAAAACGGTTATCTCTGAGAAACACGCGAGATTGTTGGAAAGGTACTCAGGTTTGCTGCTTAATGAAATATTTGTTTTGCATCGGAGTGTTTGAATACGTGTCAGACAAGAAATCCACCAAAAATCTAACTTTAGTTCCAGGTGTGTGAAAGTGCCAATGAAGCATGTCTACTGACAAAAATGGCTTCGTAAATGATTCCAAGTATAAATTTGGACAGAAAAGAGTAATGCACTTTAGACTACGGGTGAAATTCATATTAGTGTGCTTATATTAATCTTACAGCTTCAATAATAGGCTTGAAACCTTGCGCTAAGGCACAAGAAAAATCCACGGTTTTGGTGAAAAATTTCTGTCATCAAACACCTCATTTTTTAAAATTCTTTTCCAACCGGGATGAGTACAATAATGACTGACCTCACAAAAGCAGTATTTTTGGCCTCAAGCGAGAAAAAGTGAGGGATAACTCAGATCTTTTGTGCCTTGAATCGGACGCCGACAACTAAATAAGTGGATTTTACAAATTCCTACCGATTTTAATCCGACAAGGCAAGCCAAAAAGTGACAAATAATTTTATCTATTCTACTTATTTAAGAGAAATCGGTTGTTCAAATATACCGCAGTCTTTGGTTTCTTGTCCTTTTAATGATTTGATTTTTATAATTCTACTCAAACAGGAACGGATGCCAAGCTCGCGACCGAAAAACGATACTTTTTACCACAGTAATGTCTCATGAAGAGATTTCGGGCTAGTGGTTTGTTAATGCCAGAAGGGAAAAGTTTAAAAAGGTTGAAGTCATTATTTGATAGGTCTTGGGGTTGAGTGGAAAGTTCCTATCTTTGTGTAAGACGTAACTCTGTTTATATAGGTTTTCTTTCAATAGTCAGGGAAAATACCTCGTGACACTCCTGTTCTCCTGAAAAACGAACCATTTCAGGAGAATGATGTGAAATTAAAACAATGCATAATAATAAATGGTACGCAGGAAGAGCAAACTTTTAGAAAATAAAAAATCTTGTGACAAAAATTTAAATAATTGTGTACGTCAGAAAAACTGCATTCATTTGCACACTAATTTGGCGTTTCGTCAAGAAAAAAACGCCTTACAAATAACGATATACGGTTAATCTAAAGCAGAAATGTTTTGAGAAAAAACTTGATACGTTTTTACACAAAACTTGTGGAGAAAACGTAAAAGTTCTGAGACGTTATCAAGCTGCTTGTGGGTTATTCATACCCTTAATGTCTTTCAGTGTTTTCAACACTTAAAGAGATCAGTTCAACTATGTATTTACCGTTTTCAATGGCTAACACTGTGGCTGTCAAAATCTCGTTTTGAAAATTCTCTCAGTTCACTGCCGCATGTTTCTAATCACACTTTAGAACTTTTGTTACCAAAATCGGCCTCGA